AAATAATCTGCTTGTATTGATACTTGAAACTTTTATATAGATAAAAAAGTATTTATGATATAAATTAAATATATAGATAACATTTTAATAAAATTCTCACTGTAAAGTCTAATCAAAGCTATCTCTACTAATATTATAAATGCGAAAGCAACTCTGTATGTCTGTTACGCTTTCACGTCTAAACCACTGAAATGATTTTAATGAAATTTGGTACAGATATAGATTTGACCTTGAGAAAGAACATAGGATAGTTTTTATCCCAGACTTTTGAAAGGTTCTCTTGGAAACGCGGTATAACCGAACTCCACGCGGGCGAAGCTGATGGCGGAAAGCTAGTGTTCTGTATATTTGTTATTTATTTTTTAAACATTTTGTTGATATCAAAACATTTCTCATGAGATGTCGTAATGAAAATAAGAATGTTTATGAATAGACCAACGAAATAACTGAGAAAGCTGTAATTTAGTACTCGTATGGAGAAAAATAACTGTAATTTACTTTGACTGAAAAGAAAACTAATATTATGACACTTGATTCTTTTTGTCCATCAGATTCTTACAACACAATTTATTAATAAAAATATGCTCTTAACGACAGATTAAAATTTAAAAACTACCCATCATCAGCCTATCAGAGAACAATGTTGAGCAAAGGCTTCACATTGAGAAGGTTATGAAAAATTACTGTCATTCTTTAAAAAATCCGAACTATTCTCAAGATAAGGTATCATTGCATTTGATAGTTATACATTTAAATTAAAAATAGGACCTGGTCTGCGAAAAATTACGGCAAATGTGGAATTGTATTCAAATAGACATGTTATAAATATAATGTACATCCCTACTAATATTATAAATGCGAAAATAACTCTTTCTGTCTGTCTGTTACACTATCACGCCTAAACTACTGAACAGATTTTAATGAAATTCGGTACAGAGATAGAGTTGATCTTGAGAAGGCCATAGGATAGTTTTTAATCCCAGACTTTTGAAAAGTTCACTTGGAAACGCGATATAACCGAACTGCACGCGGGCGAAGCCGTCGGCGGAAAGCTAGTATTTAAGTAAAATTACATTTTATCAACAACAAGAACAGTTGTTCATTCTTTCTCTACTTACAAATCACACACGATGATACTTTCAGTATCTAGTATATACGGTAAGTTTCAACGTAAACGAAAACTCATTACTAAGGATACTACGTCAAGATCAGAATGACCGAGTCTCGTCACGTACTTGTCTACGATTTACGAATTTTACGTTGTTGACGGAAGTGTTCCTGAATATTAAGTTGAATTTGTAACTTAATATTTTTTAATATATTTGTATGAAATTATATTTATATAACTTATGATAAAGCAAATTAAAATGAATCCAAAAAATTTGGTTAACCTGCCATTTAGACCGATATTTTTGTATTGTGCCAATACTAATTAATTAAATTTCTGTAACTCGACCTTATTATAACTACTTACACTATTTTTTAGATAATGATTTCCATTTGACCGCTGGTTCACTATAATATTTTATATAAAAGATTTATAGCACTGATTGCTGGCGATCATGCGATGTATTTTGAAGTTATGTTAACATAAAGAAAGAAAAGAATTCGATTCTAAATACCATAAATATAAAAAAAATAAATAAATAATAATAATTAATTTAAAAATCTCGGCTGAATATAAACAAACCGCAGTCTGAATAAGGATATTCACAAAAAAAAATAAACTGTCAATGTCAATTACTTGTCAATAAAAGAAATTAGCGCGTTTTTACAACCCTGAATCGAACAGCATGTCCCTATATAGAATGATAGTATCCCAGTCTGAGAAGGCTTTATATACTGGGTCCTTCGTAGTGGGGTCAGTGGGCCAGGGTCAACGACCTATGACGTCATCACGTCCGAGTAACATTGAATGTTCAGTTACAGATATAGATCATAAAGAAATACACAATACTAAAATATTACGTATATAAGAATAATGTTATTATACTATTTAATTAACGATCACATTACCTTACTGACACGTACTTATTAAATAATAATAATAATTTATATGACTGGAAAGAAGTTTTTACAAAATTAACTTTTCATATGATTTAAATTTAAAAATTGTATATGACTTAAACGTTACATTATTTCACAATTGCCAAATATATTATAATATATAGATACAATAACATATATACATATATAACATATAATGATATACAATTAATTATAGATGATAAATTTCTGTTAAAAACCAGGTCAATGCTGCAACTGTCGCTATTACAACTGTGAGTGTAACGATCTGGTAAAGTCGGATAAGTGAATGAGTGCTATTGAATTATTGAGTGAGAGTTATACAGTGACACACTCATTAACGATGTAACACATTATCAGATAATACATTGAATTCAAGGATTATTTTGATATACATACATATATATTTTGTATGCTAATTTATTTATAAATCAAGGTTTGTCTGCAATATTTTCAAGGCTGAAGTGATTTTGATGAAATTAAAGAAAAGATAGGATAAAAGATATAGGTTTTTTTTTAGCAAAATGAACGAAGTGGTAGGCAAAAGCTAGTTATACTATGTGATTAAAACCAAAAAATTGGTATCCATATATTTAGTAAGTACGCTGGTAATATATTTTAATTTCCTTATACATTATGTAATAGTATACTTGTTTATTTATATAGCAACTGTGGAAGACAGTAAATATGTATGAGGCGTCTATCTGCCAGTTGATAACGGATTTTCCATTTCCTTATATACGATTCATTTCCGACTGAAAATGGGGTTGTAAGTCAGTATATAAAAATGCTCATTTACCCTCATATGAAGGATTGTATAAAAACAATAAAACTTATATGAGAAAATATCAATATTAAATAATTTTAATCCCTACTAATATTATAAATGCGAAAGTAACTCTGTCTCTGTTATACTTTCACACGTAAACCACTGAACTGATTTCAATGAAATTTGGTACAGAAATAGAGTTGACCTTGAGAAAGAACATTGGATAGTTTTTATCCCAGATTTTTGAAAGGTTCTCTTGGAAACGCGATATAACCGAACTCCACGCGGGCGAAGCTGCGGGCGGAAAGCTAGTATAGTATATTTTAGAAATTGATAACTATTACGTCATTAACAAGTAGTGACGTCATAACGCTTCCTGGTACCTTTCAGTTGACCCGCAATCTTTGCTTTAACAGCACGAATGTACTGAGATAAATCGTAATAATATAAAAGTTTACGATACATAAATCTATCATATTAATTACTAAAATAAAATGATAAATATTTTGCAAATCTTATCACTTGTAAACGAAGTATTACAGTGATATACATATGTATTTATAAAAATAAATAAATTTGAGCGTCCGTCTGTTACTATTGAAATAACTATTTTTTCTCAGTACATATACATAAACCAAAATAATATATTTAATTTTATGTATCTCTATATGTTAATTCAACAAATATTTGAATGGTATGTACTAATTTTATAAGAACTTTCACTACCAAAGCGGTTTTTTTTTTTAAATATTAAGATATACAGTGAAGAAGAGGCTAATCCGTGCAGACAAAGTCGCGGGCACAGCTATCTTTTATATATAATTCTCTATAAAACATATTACAGTACAGATATTGTTAGCAAACGTATATTGCATTAGGAACAATTAGCTTAATTTCAACATCTGTCCTTCGTATTCGGTAATAACACAAGTTAAAGACGGAAGCGTTTGAGGAATTAAATATTACAACGGTAATATTTAATATTAGAACGGTAATACTTATTTATTACATAATAAAGATATATTTGTCTTCTAAACATGACAAATCAAAATCTTGTTGCACAAACAATTCAGTGTAACAACAAATTTCAAAATGCCACAGTCCAATAGATTATGTATGAGGAAAACAAGAGTTACCACGAGTTTGCAAGTCATACTTAAAACAGAACAGTTCGTACAATAGTTTATGTTTGGTCTCGCGAGCGATATTTTAAGGCTAAAATACCATTAGTTTCACGTACCAATCGTTTCGAGTTACTCAATAATAAACCAACATTAATACTTTCATATACGAAGTTTTACGAATGAATAACTATAAAAGCTCTGTATGTAATTACCAAAAAGACATATGGTAAGATTGGTTGCATTACGAACACCACTATAATGTTAAACGCCTCGCAACCTCCCCCCTTTCCCCCCCAGACCTATCGGCTTTCGTAACGCACATGAATCATTGTTGTACCAACATTCGTAAGGCTTGCCAAATATTGGCGACCTGTAACCTACATATGACGTAAAGGTCAAACTACACCGATCACTGATTAAGGACTTTTTATAATTGGTCAATAATTCGCAAAAAAATGTAAATTGTTTCTTCAGAATTATGATTTCGATAAAAAATTTATTTATATGAATCTTATTTAATTTTGTCTATCTATTGCATGTCGCATTACAGCCCTTAACGGAGAAGGGTTAAAGCTATACGAGCTCTGCAAAGTCCTACTACTCTTTCTTTTTTATATCACACATCATTCATTCTTTTGGAGTATGATATTTATTTATACGAAAAAATATATACTTGGACTATTTAATTGAACAATATTTATACAACAAAATTTTGATTTAAATTATAATTTTGTTATCAGTGCTATAATACTGTAACTTTTCAGTTTGTTTAAATAGATTAGATTTTTATAAAGAATATAATATCTTCAATCAATCAAAGAAAAATATACTGTCTAACTGATCTAATTTTAATTCATGATTAAAAAGTTCAAAGGTCATATTAATTATATATATAAAGAAAGCTCATTTTATGATATGTACCAATGAATATCAAATCAAAATATAAACAATGACAACATTGTTGTTATTTACCAATTTTCTAGATAAGAATAAATCAAGCAAAATAATTATGACCAAGTCAGTAAAATTATTGTCTGGTGTCATTGCAATGGAATGTTAAGACTTGTAAGAGTAATCCTTACCTCCTCAATATCCTTATGGAATTTGATCGGCCTCAATAAGTAGAACTGCACCGAGAAGTACACAAAGTTGATGACAACAAACACACAGTTCCACACAACAGAATCCAAGTAGCACTCAATACTCCAAGCCCACAATCCTGAGAACGAGCAGCCCAAGATAAGGGCCACTCGTAACCATATAAGACCACTCGGAGTGTGCGGTGCAAGGAATGACAGTAAAAAGAACACATTGGCCGTCTGAAAAAATATATGGTTGATAGGACGCCACTTCGGGCAGTGATTTAAATATACGTCCCACATGGAGGGTCTCTCTTGTATTGTAACATTCACAAAATCATTAGGGGTTGGAGCCCTGGCTGTAGCTTCCAGTAACCCCATGTCTGTGGTCGACTCTACGTCACTCTCCGTCGTGGGCACCTCTGATACATTCTGTAAACCAGTAATCATCCCGATCGCTAAGGCACTGAGAAACAACATAGTCCCACCGAATAAAACACTCCCAGTCCATCGATGTGTTACCCGAAACGTTTGGCATTGGCGCGCTATTTTATTTTCACTCTTACACAGCTGTTTTTGAATTATTTTTCAATAACATGAAGGTATCTTCGATTTTTTTTAAGTTACGTTTTGTTCCTAAAAAATAAATTACTAAAACACAAATTCCTATAACACAACTAAAACTAGATAACCTATTGCAAAATAATGTAATTAAAACGCGTTATAAAAATAGATACAACAGTGAAAAATAAAATATTAGAAAACAGTGAAGCAAACAATCGAAGCCTGCGGAATGACAGCCTAGGATCGCTGTGATCGCGCTTGGAGCTTGACAAGTTTACAAAATTTACAATACTATGACAAACAACTTGAGTGTTGTCCTTATACAGTATAATTGAACGTTTCTGTTTTTACTAATTATTATTTCAATATATTAAAATAAAATATTTCCTTCTTATTTAATAATTACTCATATATTTTTACTCAGTAGTAAATTAACTTTAGAGAAACTACGTATTTTTGTAACCTAAATAATGTAGAACAATAAACAGTTTTACAATATTTTGCAATTTATTTAATTTAAAATAGTGGATAGACTACATGAAAATACTTCTTAATATATTCTACTTGTCAAATATGTCTGTCTGTTGTCAAAATAAAAGTCGCACATAAGTGTAGTTATAGTTTGTTTATTTTTATTGGAAAATATAATTAAAAATGTGCCCCTAGATGATATAATCACAATGGCTGTTCCTTATGAAATGTTATTACATCCAGAGCTTTTACCTAATGAGAAGTTAATTCAAATCATTCATGAGGTAACCCGATTTTCTTTAATCTTTTTAAATGCGACTTTTAAACATTTTATTGAATGAATACCAAATTTCAGAGGCATCTACGAATCCCAAACCTGTCAAATATATCTAGGGATGAGCTATTAGGAATATTTCATCAGTTTTGTGTTCCTTACGGGCAAAGACGATATAGGGATTCTGGAAGAGGGAAAATGTTGAATAAGTGCCGACAGCTATCACCAGAGAGAACGTTTACAATGGCTATAAGTGACAACACAATAAACAGCCCATCATGCTCACAAGTATCAGATAATGGGTCAAATAAATCACATCGATCAAATGAAGATCGGCTCAAACCAGCTTCGGATCTACTGTCGGGTCAGATAAAAAGAATTAAAATTGATAGATCAATACCTAATGGTTCAGGTGCAAAAAGGAAGTCAAATGTAGATCCTGTAAGTTGTTTTATAGACTATTTTTTAGACCAGTGTTTTTCAATCTTTTTGATATCGCGACCCATTTATGGGTAGTAATTTTTGGCTACCCCCCGGTGCTATAGACAGGCAGGGAAATTCTTAAATTAAAAGTCTAAAGATATATTAAAGTTAAAGACATTCTCTGCAATGGTGAACATCAAAACAAAAACGAGAAATAAGCTTCAATTACAATTTAATTTGATAGTTAATATTTCAAAAATAGCATGATGACTTGACATGCTTTTGAAAAATAAACAAGCCCATCCTTCTCATTAAAATTAGGTTTTTATTATGATGTAGAACTTCATCTTTTTTTTTTGCCGGCAACCCCCCAAATAAGTCATTGCGACCCCCCTAAGGGTCGCGACCCACAGATTGAAAAACACTGTTTTATAGACATTGAACTTATTGAAGAAATTCAATGTTGAAAGGTGTATATGTAATGAATTTAAACAATGGTTAGAGAAACAGAGTTAATTTTTTCATTTAATCTTTACCGCTTGTATAATAAAAAATAATATTATTAAATCTTATTAACATGTAAATAAATTTACTTTTTTGATGTTAATATATTTAAAATTTTGGATTTGCAGGTAAACATTTCATCAGACTGTCCGCCTCCGAAGAAAGAAAGAAAACCCATCACATGGCCATGAATAGAAGAATATTTGTTTTTGTACATATGTATTATATTTATTAAGTAATAATAAGAATAATCATGACATTAAATATGTATTTAATCAAAATTCTGCACAACAAATGAATTATTTATTCTTACTCTTAACTCCAACTATAAATAACATAGAAATGATGGTTTATATTTTATCTGAATAGTTTTAGTATATGTTTGTAGAACACTTTCTTATAACAATTATTTGTTTTTTATGCTATGGCCTTGTTCACACTGAATGTAGCATAATTTTTAATAGTTTTTTAAAAAGAATTCTTTTTATTATACTCTTAATAGAAGGTCTATCAAGATGGCCTTAAATATAAAAGATTTTTTTAAAAATTGTCCATGTCCCAATAACCAATTCAATTAAACCAACCTAACTGTCTATATCAGGTGTTCCCAACATTTTTTTAGTTCCGGACCACTTTTATATTATTCTTGTTAGCAGGGACCACTATGTAAGTATAATAAAAATAAACTGTAACAATCAAACTGAAACTTAAATTAACAAATCTATTGATTCTATTGGATTTATTATATTCTATTAATCCTATGGGATATAACAAAACAAGAAATAATAATATATTTAGGATAAACTTCTGCAATTTTGTATTAATGTGATTTCTGAGCTTGCATTTTCTTCACGAGTTCGGCTATCCTAGGACTAATATTGTTACTCAAAACTACACGCAAATCATCACAAACTTTCAAACGATTCCTCGCTTTGTTTTTAATTACCAATAAAGCAGAAAATCCTTGTTCACATAAATAAGTTGTTGAAAAAATCATAAAATAGCGCAAGGCCATTTCTCGAAGTTTAACATAAGAAATTGCTTTTTTACACCAAAACGACTCAAGACTCACAGCCCGCTAAATTTAAAATCATTCGCGGACAACATTTTGGCTTCTGCGGACCATTGCTGGTCCACGGACCACTGGTTGGGTACCATTGGTCTATATTTTACTATCAAAAATCAATAATATTGTATAGTGTGTTTGATTTAAGCTGAGCTTTTTATATGTGTGAGTGCACACGGGTAGTGTAGGCGTGATGTAAAATTTTTGAATGCCCCATGCTTTTCTAGATTTGAACCGGTTTATTCTGCTTTAACTCCGCCCCACACATTCCTCACTTCACCTTTTGTACTGGTAGCAAAATTAAATGTTGAAAACGCAATGTCAAGTGAATAAGAAATTGTATAGTTTTCTCAAATTTTTATTAATCAATATTTTTTTTCCATAATATTCATAATATTTCCATCTGGCCTTTTACAAGTTTTATAGCACTTAAGTATGTTGTGTATTTATTTAAATTATAATAAAATTTAATTCTAAAAGTTTTTTGTCTAACTCTACTTTTACTTTCACTCACACAAATGCAAAGCTCAGTTTAAGTCTAACGGACTCTATTTAGTTGTAATAAATTTCGTAATACTATGCATAATATTCTAAAAGGAATTCATTTTAAAAATAATTCATAATCTGCAAACTCTGGCTGGCAATAATGACAAAAATGACATTCATTTATATAGAAAACAATATATTGATTATTCAACAATACAAACGTTGACATTGGCAAAATATTACACGATACTAGTGAGAATGAAGTTAACATAAAAAAAAAATATATCGACATTTTAACGAAGAAATAATCGAAAAGCTATGACAGACCCAGTCCCTAGAAGTGTAAAATCTGTTAAAAGTAGACTCGACACGATTAACCAGAGCGAAGATTTTGGAAAGAGACCCGCTAATGTATCGAAAGTTCAATCTCATTTCTTGGTCCCATCTGACAAGTTGGATAAAGTCACCAGAAGGGTCATTGCCCCGTACGCGCAAATAGAAAGGAAAGGACTAAAAGAGGAAGAAGTTAAGGAAGGGACTTATCTGGATATAAATCGGTTTAATGTCTTTTTGGAAGACACCGTTGACCTTGAATCTTTGTTATATGAAACTGCGAATGTTTTAAAAACGATCACCAACAGCTCAGGTTTGAGTGGTTTCCAATCGTTTAATAGCTTTTAATTATTATTTTTTTGTGGTCAATCATATGTACTTAGGCTAGCGATTTTAACAGCATTACCAGAAGTTTGGCAGGTCAATGACATTTGTGTATATTATTTACATAAAACATTTCTTATTATTTTAGGTGTATTTTTATACATCGTAAACAAACTGAAGAACGAAATTGTATTAATGACTCAAAATACAAAGAACCCAGAGCGGCACGAAGTTAACATACCGATTGGTTAGCAAAAAAATATACATTGATATTTTTATAATAAAGAACCATTACCACATACTTCCAGAATGTACTTTTTACATTAGAGATTCATCTATTGATTAAGTGATTTAGGGGATTTACGACGTTGGTGGTTATTTTATTTAACCAATAAGTTCTCATGATATTTTTTGTTTTCATCTCTTGTATTGGCTAAGGTATAATTAAATAATAAAAGCCTGTAAAATAAAACAGAAAAAAGTGAAACTTCGTAACGTTGGAATAACAACAGATAGGGTTTGAAATATAGATTTTTGAGGAATTTTTCTTTAAGACAAACTTTAATAACATTCCACAACAATTTCACAAATTCCCTTTCGCTATCTTTTTATCCCCCCCCCCCCTGGACGTTTAAAGTTAAAACATTTAACGCAACCTTGTCCGAAGTCACATAAGAATTTCCACTTCGAAAGTTGTAATTTAAGATTAACCATCAATCAAATTGAACATTTATTGTAGAGGAAGGAAAGATAATAGCTGCTCACGTAGCAGCCACCAAGACCTACCTTCACGTAGAGGATGTACAGCGAGATCGACGGTTCTCTGAAGGTCTTAAATGGATAGACGCTAAAGTGGCGCTGTGTATGCCCGTCGTCAAACCTGATGGAGACTGCTACGCTGTTCTTGAACTGTATAGGAACTATCCTGAAGCTTACGATCATGTGAGATTATTATAGAAAAGAAAGCTTTATTAAAACCATTTATTTGCTACACACATACTTACATTACATAGATTATACAGTAAAAAATAATCAAATTTAAAGAATACAGTGTAGGAGCAAGGGGTTCATCTCAGTATAAGCTGTGCTTATGCACAGCACTGATTTTCCTATGGCCCCTGACTATTGGGTAAACATAAACAAATTTATATAGCATTTTTTTCCCATCCGTACACGAAATTTTAATGAACGTCATATTTTTTTTATTAATCATGCTGCATAATTCGATTACTTATTATACCACCTAACTGTTCATCGCACAACTGTAGAGTTTTGGTATTATAAACAGGGTTTATCTGAAAACGAAATTTTATTAACTGGGATTAAGAAATAGCCATATTTATTTTAGTAACGGGGGTTTGAATTTGTTATGATTTTTTAAGATATATTAAACATTTCCATGTTGTGAACGATTTATAATTTAGAAAGATCTAAAATTTAGACTTGACAATTCGAATTCATTGATACAAAACATTTCATATTACTCTTACGCCAACATACAAATATAAGATAGAATACCTAAAAATTACTTTCATGTCGGCTACAATCTTAATTGGCCAACATTTCTAACTCCACTTTAGCCATTTTCATCTTCCAAGAACATTTTATGAAAGAATGTAATGTAGATAGGATTCGTATTCATCATAACATCGAAATTCTAATCAGAAATCACTGATTGAGGAAAGACTGTATAAAGCACAATCTCATCTCCTTACTCTTGCGGTTAAAGAACTTTATTGCTCATAAAGAACATACAATGTTCACTTGAATGAGATGTAGTACATAATTCAATTCAAACAACAATTCAGTACAGTAGCAACGACCCATATAACTCAAGAGCGGTTAATCCAATCCCTACAATAACCCAATAATTTCCTTCTAAAAATCTCAAACGTTTTTTCATTAACTCTTCTTTCTTCTACCTAGACTCTAACTCTTCCTTCTTCTAGACTCTAACTCTTCCTTCTTCTAGACTGTAACTCTTCCTTCTTCTTCTTTCTAGAACATAGTGTACACAGTTATAAGTGTGTCATGCTGGGCGGGCGCGGCCGTGCATCAAGCGCAGGAAAGAGTCACCTTACAACGAACTGCTCATCTTAATCAGGAATTACGAGCGTTGCTTCACAACTACTTCTGCGACCTGGCGTCGCTCGACACCATGTTGACTGATATGCTGGTGATATTGACAGCTTTTTATTTTGCTCAGAGTAATACAAACCCTATGTAATGCGTTTAAAAATAGAGCAATGCTAGAGTGTAATGTAATTTAATATTATGCTAAAGTACTTTGGCTAAAGACAGCATTGATCAGTTATTCGTATTTTGCAATAAAAGAAACGTAAGTGCATTAATGAGTTAAACTTTTTAATTTTGTTTTATAAATACTTATTATGCGTAGATAGTTCCTGATTAATAATTGTTAAACTTTTAGGCAGTTATAAAATCTTTCGTTGGAGCAATGCGCAGTAGTTTCTTTATAATAGATAAAGAAAATGTTAGCGGGAACTTGCTAGCGGACATGTGGGATGACGGCTGGGGAACGGAGCGATCAACGATACCCAGGAAAAAGATGAGAGTTAAGTTAGTATCGGACACAGAATCTTTACCTTACTATTATTTAATAATCCTCTTTAAACTAAATAGCAGAGTTTCCAGTTTATTAATAAATCTCAGAACTTGATAGAATTAAATAGGTTTATTTTTTAAAGAAGTGATTCTTGAAATAATAGCTTCAAGAATGAAGAACAAAATCATCGATGCTTGATGACGAATCTTCAACGAAGATCTAATGTAATAAATTATTTTAAGTAAACGTTATATAAATTATATGTAGTATGAATAATACATATATAGTAAAATCTAAAAAAATAAATGAAAACGAGTGTGCTTTAGACCACATGACTGAAGTATAAATTCCTTCTCTTCATCTTCTTTCTGGCAATTTCCCAGCTTTAGCCAGAGTCTTACACGATGTAAATAGTTTTGGCTAATTGTTTTTACGACCGGCCACCTGCCTAACATCAATCCTCTTTCTCTCCATATACATGCGTAATGCCAGAAAACTTTCAAACGAACTCCTGACTGGCTATGAAAGGGAGCGAGAAAGAAAATGTACAATAACATATTACATACGAACTGTAACACTATCTCTATTTATCTTCGCTAATTTATATTTCCCTCTCATTTTCGTTCGCGTCGCCCGATCACATTTTTCGTAACGTTTTCATAATCTTACCCTCATAAAAACTTTGTTTTTAAATAGTCTGAGTCAAGAGATGACCCCAGCCGGTCTAGTGGCAAAAACTGGTGAATCAATAAACGTTCGTGACGCGTACAAGGACCCACGTTTCTCTAAGGAGATCGATCCCACTACTGGGACTGTTGTCAGGTCGTGTCTGGTGGCTCCTATTATGGACAAAAAAGGAGTCATTGGTGAGTTAAATGTGAATATGTATAATTTTACAACATAATTATAGTAACAAACATGTGTGTATGCATAGTTATATAATAGTGTTTTAATTGACTACTTTTGGTTAGGTAAACTTTTAAAATCTTCCTCAATTTTGTGACGAATATACATAAATATATAAATAGTAGGTGGTAGAGCCTAGCTGTAGTCAAGTTACTACAGCTCGAACATGGGCTGGCTCGACCGGGGAAGTATCACCCTCTCACAGAAGATCGGCGTGAAGTAGCCTTTAATGGCTGCGTCCGATGAGTGAGAGAGTCGGTTGCTTTTTCCCTGTTCAATTTTCCCTCCCTTTCCTAATTCTTCCCCCCCCCCCTCTTCTCTAATCAAGGGTAGCAAACCATCCGCAATGGCGACGGTAAAACCTCTGTCAGGTAGACCGTCTGCTCGGTAGTCCCGTTTTTGTACAAAAAAAAACATAGCAGACTGAGTTATCTAATCATCCAAATTGTTATTTGTTTTTATCAGTTATCTTTATATATATCATTTTATTGTGACTGTCATTACAGTGTGTCATTGAACTCCCTTGAATAGGAATTTACGAAATGATAGTGTGATGGATTAATAAGTAAACGTAAATAAGGATTTTTGAAGTCAAACTTTTCAAAGCAAACGGTCCTATAGGCTATAGCTGTTTTTTTTTTTGTTCTGTCAGACGGTGTGCTTTCCCTGTTGAGCCTAAATTTAATTCCATTTTTCTACTAAATTTCTTCAAAAATATTCCTAAAAAGTAATTCATACAAATCTCATTCTCCTCAGGTGTAGTCCAACTGACAAACAAAATAAACAGCCAACCGTTCTCAGTCGAAGACGAGGTGATATTCGAAGTATTTACAAGTTACTGCTCCCTCATCATACACTTCAACAACATGCAGCAACAGAAGATATATCATGTGCGTTAAAATATTACTCATACAACACAATTATGAAGCGAAAAGCTTTACAATATATAACAAAATTACAAACATAATGTCGTAGATCAAAAATTTGATAGTATTTTAGAATTAAAAATTGAATATATTTCATTTTTATTAAAGGAAAATCTGAACAAAGTGTACAACGATCTCATGAATCTTCATTTGAGTCCGTGTCGCCACGACATGGACGAAATCATGGAAACGAACGGAATAATCTTGCCGCCGAATAATTTTAAAAGGTTTAATACAAGTGTTAATGCTTAATTCTCCTCTCAGTAAATGACACATCAACAGATATCTCTGAATCTAAAAGAAAGTAATATTTTTCGGATTACTAGGCGTATTTTATTTTTAAAAACTAGATATTTTCGACGTTACGACGAGATGTGAGTGTCTGTTAAGGACAGTCATCAGTTATTTAGTTTTTAAAAAGAGACGAAACTTCTTAGCATTCAATGTATTCACCGTTCGTGTGTCGGGTCCATCGTTGCAGTGAGAAGAGCTTCAACAGTGACTGTGACTTGCGACCCAGGTGTGGGTTTAAGGGACCCTATCTAACGCGCGTTAAACACTCACCTTCACTGTCCAAGCTCCTACCTAATCAAATTTGAAAAGAACCTACTATCGCTATAAAATACGGGTAGAAATCCGAAAAATATTAGTTTCATATAAATGAATACTCGCGAGTCTAAGATTTCGTTATCTATGGATCTAGTTTATTTTACGTTTTTGTATATGTCTGTCATAATATGCACTACCCTTTCTAGAATATTTGTTATCTACATCGGTTGGGTTGCCTGGAAGAAATCACTTGTAGATAAGGCCGCCCTTGCCTTAAATTTTCTGTATTTATATGTGCTATGATTTTGAATGCAATAAAGTATATTTCTTCTTCTTCTTCTTCTAGTTATAACTACCACATCAGTGAAGGTAGTAAGGAAGATATGCCAGGGCTCGTCTGTCACATGTTCGTGGAGACCTTCGCTGATAAGAAGTTTGAGCGTGAGAGTCTGGCTGACTTCACCCTCACTATCCTAAGCTGCTATAGGAACAATCCTTACCACAACGCCGAACACGCGTTCTGCTTTACACATACTATGTTCTTGATATTGACCAACAATAATGGATACTTCGACTTTGTTGAGGTCAGTACTAGAATTATATTCAATTTAAAATAGATGCGATGTAAGTATTCAGCTAATATTATTAAATTTTAATTTTTGCATATCCAGGAGTAATCTTATATTAATAATAATGATAGCAAGTTCGTGCAATGATGTTCTCATCACCAAAAAAATGTTGTCGATTCTTAAATTCAAATCTAACTGATTCAAAGTCTTGTAATTTAAAATACTTATGACTTAAAAAAGAGCAAAATTTTGCTTGGATATCGATTTTCTTTGTGGTTGCAAGATGACCTTTTAACAAGAAAACATTTATACCCTCGTATTCTGCCTTAATCAAAAGTGAAAGCCATATACCGAAATTTCATACAAATGCCATCTATAGCAAGTTATAGCAATGTACATATTCATGTAATGAAGAGTATCAAAGTAAATACAAGTAATTTACTCCCGGTATGTCGTTCAGACGGCAGCCCTCATGCTGTCTGGTCTATGTCACGACTTGGACCACCCAGGGTATAACAATAACTTCCTGTCTCTCTGCAAACACCCCCTGGCCCTTATGTACCGCTCGTCCATGTTGGAGTATCATCATTACTTCCTCGCAAAGAAAGTCATCGAAGTGAGAAATGCTTATTTAAATCAATACTAATATTATAAATGCGAAAGTAACTCTGTCTGTCTGTTATGCTTTCACGCCTAAACCACTGAACTGGTTTTAATGAAATTTGGTGCAGAGATAGAGTTGACCTTGAGAAAGAACATGGGATAGTTTTTATCCCAGACTTTTGAAAGGTTCTCTTGGAAACGCGATATAACCGAACTCCACGCGAGCGAAGCTGCTGGCGGAAAGCTAGTAATACTATATATAAGTTACAATTCATTAAGTTCAAAGACGTTTTTAGTAGTCTGGAGTTTAATAAATAATATATATGATATTTTATGTGAACTGCATTTAGTATTCTGAAAAATTAACTGAGTAATAACTTTAAATATCTCCCAGGATAAGAAATTACTGATCAACGTGCCAATAGCCGACCGAGAGCGTATATTAGAAGAAATGAAATATGATATCCTATGTACAGATCTCGCTATATATTTTCAGGTAAATTTTATTAATTTGCCTTATTAAATGAATGAGTCCTGACAAAATATACAGATCCTTATATTAAAATTACTAAAACTATTCTTAGGTCAGAGCTCAACTCACACCGCTGGTAGCTGAGTGCTGTTTCGATTGGACAGATAATACTCATCGAAGTTTACTCAAAGTAAATAAATAAACATGTATATGTAGTTTCAATTGTATGAATGTATATTGTATATATTAAATGACGCGAATGTGGTCAAACCTTTCCAGTTAGTGAAATAAGCATTCTTAAACTCTATTGGCACATTTGGACGGAGTTTTTTTTAGTTTCTTTTTTGCCCCTACTAAAGTCTTCTAATTTAATTCACAAATTCTAATTAAGTACCTATAGTTTATTTGGCAAAGCAACGCGATATACCAGAAGTAGCAGGTTTGATCCACGTTCGTGTTGATGGATTTTGCATTCCATATTGCTATCTGTCGGATTTTTCTTTTTTAATAAAATATGTTGATTAAACAAGTAATAGATTTAATAAATTCAAGGGAATTTTGATGACGACTAGTGATCTCTCAGGATGCTGTAAGCCATTCGGTGTGTCGAAAGCTATCGCCGAATCTGTTTACGAGGAATTCTACAAACAGGCAAAACATTGAATACTTATATATTTTAAACTTAAAATGTATATTTTTTTTGCATAGAACTATTTATGACTCAATATTATTACTCAATAACTCCAAACAATAGCAAAATGAAATATGTACATTATCTGTGAATTAATGAAGCGTCGTTCCTGTAGCAAAATTGTACGTTTTTTAACCTATTGTGTGATTTTAAACATGTTTATACAAACAACTTTAAATAGAAAATTGCTTGATGCTTCTATATATGCTTATTCTTAATAATGACGTCTAATATATTTAATAATATAAACTAGAAATAAATTAATTTTCTTATTTAGTAATTTACACTCGGCAAAGACGATTGGGTCTAAATATAATGGGAACCATTTTATTGGGTTCATATCGAAAGATAGTCTTGATGTATTTTTACTCTAGAAATGCAGAGTAATGAATTATGATATATTTAGGGTGATAAAGAAAGACGTATGGGCTACACTCCTCTCAGTATGATGGACCGTCGTCGCTCCATCAACCAACCCGCGGAACAGATCCAATTTCTATCAGTAGTGGTGCTACCGTGTCTGCTACTACTACAGAATATCTTTCCCAACACGGCACAACTCACAGAGAACTGTCGGTAAGAACATACACTTAAAAGTATCGCTATTTATTATATGGTATGAGAATATTAGTGAAAGAAAATCTACAGACGAAGCCTCTTAGCAGTAAATGTATTCATATGTGGGTGCCGGGTCCATCGTTACAGGGAGAGGAGCTTGACTGAGCCTTACGACCCAGGTGTAGGTTTAAGAGGCTCTATCTATATATGTATATATTATTTATTTGTAAACGTGACTAGGATACTTTGGTCCTTATTGCTAAGAAATTAATAAGACAATTATGTAATGATCTTAAATTGTGTTGGTTCGAGGTACAGTTTCAGATAAGATTTTTAATGTTCAGCGTTACTTCCAGTAATGTCTTCCAAACTGGCTGAATTATATTCCAGAATTTATAGTTTTCAAATACAAATTAATACTTAAATGTTGCCATTACAAAATTACAATGGTTCAGTAATTTATTAATTATAATTAGTCATAATAATAATTTTAAGCATTATATTAGTAATGTAATGTAATATGTATCTATATAGCAAGACCCAAGAAGCTTGGCACGAAGAGATTGAGATACGTGGTCAGAAACTTTGGAGACAAGATGATTCAATCGGCAGCGCGAGCAGAACACGACTTATGCTTAAAGCTGATAGCGACATCAATTAACGAGGACAATATCTGATCTCATTAATTTCATATGAGGATTTTGCTTTACAAGATTTTCATATCGTGTAATAAAGAAATATATGCTGTTTATTTTTAAAATCATCTCTTAGTATATTATAAATTGACTTCCATTACTATAATTAATGTATAGAATAAAGAGGTAGAATTTCGATATCTTCATTTGTTATATTTTTATTTAAGTTTTGGAAATTATTTTCAATTAAGGATCCTAAAATTAATGTGCAATAAAACAAAACCATTTCTGCTTCTGCAATATCCGCTAACGATCTTTATACAAATTACCAACTATAAATAGATACTCATAATGAAAAGTCAATAACTAGTGCGCATTTTTATAATTGTTATACATAATTTGTGTATTTGACGTCACGCCTGACGTTCTGTTTGTATATTATCACCGCCATGTTTGACGTAGGTAAATAAAGTAACAAGTGTCATTTTGTATTTTTTATTTATGAATATTTATAACTCGTATAATGATAACACCGGTGTACTGTGATATGAAATATTGCTAAAGTCGTCCACCCAATTCGTATAAAATAAAACTATAACTAATTTACATCTATATATTTATTATAGATTTCTCAGACGTCTGCATCGCAACACATTTTTAGTCTTAATGGCAACATTATTATGAATTATATAAAAAAAATGAGCAATAAAATGGTGTTAAAAAAAACATTTTGAAATTGTCACCATATCACTACACCAAAGTGAAGCACCTTAAACTATAGATCGAGTTCTTAATACACAATAAATACACATGTAATTTATCAACTTACAATGATTAAAACAATGGGACTTTAAGCATAAATACAAAGTTACTTGATTATAAATATATTTCAGCAACAAATACGATTAAACAATAACAGTCATATTGCCTAATTGTTAAACCATAACTCCATAAATTTGTTCTAATTTTTAATCAAAAGCCATCAACAATACATTAGGTACGTGAAATATTTTTATATTTTTCGTCTTCAGTGGAATGAGTGCGTGGATTTATTGCGGATTGTGATTTTATTCAAAAATATGTTTATATTTTTTTTCTAACACTTACATGTTAATTTGAAATTCATTTCATTGAACTTTAAAACGACTTACAGACTCACCATAACAAATCATAACGAGAAACAGCCTCGGAGATAATACAGTTTACAAACTCGAGTAATTTGATTGGTTTTTAATTAATTTAAACATTTATATAACACAAACATCAACAGCATATTTGTCTTGGACCAGCCAATAGGTGAGTGTGAGTCATATTAGAGTTCTTAGTATCCTGGTTATGGGTTCCGTATCTTGCCGGGAACATAATTCTTATCGATCGATGGTTCCTGTAGGAACATATGCAGGCATCTCTCATTCTGGGCCAGCGGGTGACCTGCTATTTTGTTTATAAACACCTCGAGACCTGTAAAACAAGTGTAGTATGAAATAAAACTATATTCCATTCTTCATGTATGTATTATACTAATATTATAAAGTGATGTACCTACATTACACTTGACATCATATTATTATAACAATACCGAGCAAGCATAACTAATACATAGTTCACAGATATATTTTCCAAATAATTTTTGTATTCGAGACTTGAATTTAAATTCATATAGAATACTTTTTTCTTTGATATGATTTACGGCATTAAAGTATAATTTCTGAAACAACTGAAATATAATATGCTGTATTTGGTAGGCTCTAGTTCTGTTTGCGTCAATTTTTCAATCCACTTTGCATTTCCATGTGAAATTAATAATTATTGCAAATAAACCACACATTTTTAAAAATAATTAATTTTTGTTAAGATTTGAATCTCTAATATGTATCTTAGAAGAACCATGATCAATAAATGTTGTGTTAAATAGAAAACTATGTAGAAGTATTCAGTTCTTGGTAAATTAACTGAAACATTATATAAGTCTACATATAGCAAGACTTAGCGATATATAATAACTTAATAAGATTACTTGTTGTTGGAACATAATTTATAAACTATGTTTATGATTTGCATACAAGAATAAGTAATTTTATGATTTTCAATGATATTTTTGTGAAGAAAAATATCTGATAGTAGCAAAAAGAGCAATATAGCCACCTAGTACTGTATTTAGCATTTTTGTATTGCGATATATTTGAATGATTCACTCTATGACATCACAAGAATGTAGTATCTATAATTTAAAATCATACTAGATTTAAAAAAAGGCTTTTGTGAGCATTTATATCTTGTGCATTGTTAAAATTTTTTGTTGTAATATAATTAATCAATATTTTTCCTTATCTTTTAAGTTAATTTACATTGTAACATTGTTTAAATTTACATACTGTTATAAAATAAAATATAATTAACATACAGTGTAAACTCTATATAACGACACTCGATTTAACGACAAACTCTCTAAAGCGTCGAAATCATTTGACTTTGGTTGGTTTCGCTTGTCTACCATACAATGATACACTCTACATAGCGGCACACCCACTCCCAATAACGACAACAATTAAGTAATAAAAAGTACCTTTTAAGTTGCTAAAATTAGTAAAAACTGTGCAGCTGTGTACGTTCCTTTGTCGCTTTGTTATCCTAGCCCGCAATAAACTCGACTGTCCCTATCATCCATACCGAACTTTCTAAGAAATTCGTTCTTTTGTTTACAATTACAAATTGATTACACGTGTCAACGGTTTTTGACCATAAGTAGGAGTCTTGTATTACCTATACATTAACATAAAAAGTTGCTCACAAAATCTCAAACTATAACATTCTTTTTTATGTACATAAGTACTAACACTAGTCTGAAATAAACTTTGTCTTTTTCTAATTCTGATTTATCTTCTCTCTATTTAACGGCAACTCTCTATAACGCACTAAAATGCACGGTCCCTTCAGTGTCGTTATATAGAGTTTACACTGTATTTATAACATGATAATAATATCTCACCCTTTCTACGATCTTCAATAAATTCCTCTTCAAATATGCCATCGTCACCTCTAAATGGGAGCTGTCTTTTTAATGCTTTACCGGGCAGGGACGGAACTACTATCTGATAGATAAAATAATATAAATACTCAAGGTTCTTTAATATATATTAATTTATTTTTGGAAAAAAAATAATATGACTCATACACTAAATGAATTACAAATTTACCAATTTTTTTTCATTCTCTTATATTTTTGACAATGTCTCATTATCTAAAGTCATTGTTGTAAACACATCTTTGTTTAAATGACAAGCTTGACAAATGAATCATACGAATGTTTAATAATTTGATAATAGAATTTCACATTATCAGTTAACAGCACAAACCTTACTGTCTCTCTCGAGTTCGTTTCTTAACCATTCGAAGTCGCTGTACCGTCGCCGGACGCTGGACTCTTTCACTTTAAACACCGGGAGATTGGTCTGGAAACGGGAAACGAAATGTTGCTCATTATCGACTCTATCAATAGGCCTCTCGGTTACGCGATACGCCCACCAAAACAACGTAGCGATGGACCACTTCGCGTGATCGTCTAATCCAATTATGCTCTAGTAACTGCCGATATCCTGCCGCCACTTACCCTCATGCGAACTTCGTAATCCGTAAAGCGTTTTTTTCCGACTCCCATCGTAACAGGATTTACCACGTCGATTTCTAAGAAGTTCGCGGGGGCAGCGTACGCATCGTCCAATGTTTGTTTTTTAACGTTTAGCCGTCTGGTTGCGTCGGCTGTCGTATCTTCAGCCATCATAACGCTTTTTAGACAAACAATTACAAACTAATAAAGACGGTTCACTAATCAAAACGCAAATGAATTTGACAAGAATGCAACATAGTTGACGTTTGTCATGACAAATATAGGAGTATGGCGTTCGGAAACAGTTTTAATAATATCATTTAAGTATAAGATTTATATTTCAGATAGTGCCAGGAATAATATTATAATCATTCAGTTTAACAAAGACGTTTCTGTTTAAATATGAAAAAATAATTAACAAAAATAGAAATACTGAACATATTAGTCATCACATAACATTAAGAATTAACTACTTATATAAAGATGACTAAATATGAATGCGATCATGACCGGCTTTTAATTTTTAAGTAACTTCTCAATTATATGTACTACTATATTTTATAATCTTAGGCATTCTGACGAGGAAACACTGCTTTTGCTGCTTCTGCTCAACGGCGGCGAGGTCAAAAGAGAAAATTTTGGGTTCATCAAATATTGGAATTAAGAGAACAACATGAACAATTCCATCATTTGTTTGTGGAACTTAGATTAAATTATGATGAAAAATTTTTCAACTATTTTAGGATGTCTGTCTTGGTTTGATGAAATGAATAATATACTAAGGTCTAAAATTTGCTGTCGACTGCTCTAGAGCCGCCGACGATTCGAGCAGTCAGTGTATGCCTCGCAACTGTTCGCAAGCGGTCGACAGCACGATGGAATTTCCTCATGTAGTTGACGGCTTGAAGCGGCCGCGACTGCTCGAGCAGTTGTGTGTACGGCAGCGAATGAATAGCTCTAGTTAACTGCTTGAAGCAGTGCGTCTACGGCTGGCCTTAAAAGGATAACGCTTAAAATAAATGATATCCTTAACATTGATTTATGCATATCGATACCTCCCACGTAAGTTGTTGTATCTCCAAAAGTGTAATTTTACAGTAGAGCGTTTTAAAGATTCAAATTAAACCAAAATCTGCATTTATTGATGCATCTTTTTAAAATTTCGTGTTTAAATTTAACATAATAGTCTTCTTAACTACGTTAAAAGTGTCCGTGACCACACCGCAGGACCTCGAGACACCGTGAGCGCATTTTGCCGGCAGCGCATTTTGCCGGCATCCAGAGCGGTACGCAAGACAATTAAGAAATCGATGGCGGTAGGAGATAAAATGACCAGACCAACTGACAGACACTCACATCTCGTCTGCCCGTGATCACGGTTGCTGAAAAGTAGCCGAAACGTCGGGAGTATGTAGTTTCTAAAATAAAATAAAACGCGAAGTAAAATCCGAAAATATTAGTTTCATTTAAATGTGTACTCGCGAAAATCTTAGACCTCATTATGAGTCCCCCTCCTTTCAACATGTATCGATAACGAGGTCATCACGAATGATTACTTACAAGCTAGATAAATTAATAAAATACCAAATTTTAAGTATTTAAAAGATGAAATTCAAATCATTATGAATTTAAGCACGAGTAAAAAAAATGTACTTAAACATCAACGACATTTATGCCAAGCTTGGAGATCAATTATCTCGTTCACTCGCCATATGCCATATTTTTACAGGGAATAATTATAATCCTGCATTCTTTCGTAAGGGAAAAAAGAGACTTTGTAGTATTCTAAAAATATATATTAATTTTTAAGAGGCCTTTATTCAACTCTTACCAATGGAAAATACGGCACTAACAACATCGGATAAGTAAGTTAGTTCAAATTATTGGAGACTGAAGAGTATGTATGTAGAATGTATCTTTTAAAAACAAAAAAATGATATCAACAAAGGGCGGTATGAGTTATTTGAAAAAGGGTATATTAATCAAAAATAAAATGAAGAAATTTTAAAACAAAAATCGTAGGATATGATTCTTCTAGTTTGCCACCACCAAAACAAGAATTGTTGCAAAAAATTAAAAGAACTGCATTCATCTGCAATATATGCACACATGCGGTGCTCCACAGAAAAATTGTGAGAAAATTTTGGATGAACAATTATTGATGGTAGTTATGAATTTTATTGGTTTGATGGCCCCCAAAGTCCATCTTTTGACGAATTATCTTCTGACATACTAGGTACCCTATTAATACTATTGTTAATTATTGATTTATTACGTATTATTATATAATTTTCTAACTTTTGTCATGTTATTACAGAGTCAGATATCACAAATGAGGACAGTGAAATAAATAAAGGTAACAGCGATGTAAGCAGCGAAGGTACATCAGATGAATCTGATGAAGATTAATTTTTGTTTTTTTTTTTTAATTTGTACTCATCTCACTAAAAAAACAAGTTATTTTTATTAAAAATAAGAATATTATCTTTATATCCTATGTTACAAGTAAAAAAAACGAAAAAATCACAATTCCTGCCGTAGCAGCAGCACTTGTATATGATAGTTACAACTGTATACTTTGAAAAACATAAAAGTCTTACTCTGTTGTATGTAACTAATACGCGGTGTGAGCGCGTGATTTTACCCACCTTGCGCCCCGCGTAAACAATTGTAAAGGCATATATACATCAGTTTAATACGTTCGCGTTTAAAAATTACAACATTATGCGTCTGACAAATCCTTTAAAAATAGTGTTTTTGTTGTTTTTTTAATTTGAATGGGTGTAATGATCAATAATATAATACTTTTCATAAAAAAAGCAAAATAGCATTTTTGTGGCATACAAAAACTTACGTGGGAGGTATCGATATATTATTGCATGTGTTAATTTTAGCTGTGTTTTTAATTATGTTTATATTGCCAGAATTTATTTTATATAAGATAAAAAAAAAAAAAATTAAGCCACGGCAAAAAAAATTAATCTAGTCCCAATTTTAGGTATGTGAAAAAAAGACTCTTTGCTAGTTAAATATAATTTAATTCATGAACTGTAACATTGGATCTTCGTCTCGTTTCCTCTTCATCATGTAAGCTTCCAGTTCATCTTGGCTCGGCTCCTTCACATCAAACATACTGTTGTAGGGACGCTTCCTTTCATCCATTGATAAAAGACGATCAGCATTACGCTGATTTCTTTCTTCCATTTCAAGAGCCTGATGATAAAAATCATATATAGTATAACAATAATATTTGTGATGAAAATCAATTTACTTAAATTATACAATAATGATTGTGTGTAATCTGTATGTCGATTTAAAATATTTCTACTACTCGAATAACAAAATACAAGTATTTGCTTTAAAAGCTAAGTTAATTGGCATTATAGCTATTAGACAATTTAATGTTCTATTATTTAACTACTGATGAAATTATTTAATTTCTTATTAACATAATTATAATTACCAAATATACAATATAAAGTGTCTCTGTGTAAATTGAATGAAACTAAATTACATTTAAACATTATTGATTTGCGTAATAATATGTTTTAAGTTTCTTTACCTTCTTCAACTTATCTTCGTTCTTATCTTCTTTCTGTTCCTTCTTCTTCTTCTTCTTAATTTTCTTCTTATTTTTCTTCTTTTTGCTTGTTTTTTCTGTTTTACTTCTTATTTCTTCTTCTGATGAAGACGAACTGCTTTCTGAGTCCGTTTCTGATGCTGATTTTACGATTTTTTCTGAAATTTTTAATTTATATCAGTATAGTTATATGAGATAGATATTTATTATGTATTTAAGGTGTAAAAGCTTACCTTCTTTGTCTTTTTTATTTCCCGAACTCTTCTCAGTATCTTGAATATCTACAATATGTCCAGACACAACAGATTTTCCTGCTTCGCCAACACAGTAAGACATCTGTAAAAATAAAAATTGGTATACATAGTTTATAACAAAAAACTAATGAATTATTTCATAGAATATTAATGATCTTAGCAAGAATTAATATACAGGGTGACTGGTGAATTACTATCGATATTTGAGGACGCGATATTTGACGATCATATATGACAAAATAAAAATTAATATAACATAAATATTAATAAACTTCTAAGTGAAGTTAACCAAAAGTTATGTAATTAATTACGCATCGTATGGACACCCTACAGATTAGGTATACACACACACTCACACATACGCGCGCGGCGGCGTGTTGTTGTATCAGCACGCCGCCGCACGCGTCCACACTTGGAACACTTGGAACGTGTACACACTTTATTTATTTATACGGAAATTTGGTCAAAAATTAAGTACCTATTTTTTTTACATAATTCGAATGAGAATCATGTACCGAGTATGCTCCTTAAATATTGATAGTAATTCACCAGTCACCCTGTATATTTTTAACTTTATTTTGGGAAATAAATTATTAGTGATAGTAATGATAGTTGCTATATACAATTAATTAGTAATTAATATATATTAAATACCTTTATGAAGGAGTGGCAACACTTATATCCCCACTGTCCGTCCCTCCAATAAGAGCCCCACACACTTGTGTGATTGTTGATCAAAACATCTTCTTCATATTTGCTCCTGGGAAGAAATTGTTCAAGAAATATGTATATATATATAAATAAATTAATAATAGATTTTATCATCAATAGTATGACAACATTGTGCTTTTGCCCAAAAGAAGGGAAGTATCTTTATGATGTAAAACTTGCAATATCTACAACTTATTTCCATATCAAAATATGAATCAACCAATCACTATAATTTTCTTATCAATTTCATACTTAAAATTAGTCATATGAATTGTCAACATAATTTTTACCACTTACTCAAAAACATTACACAATCTCATGTAAACTATATATAACATAAAATTCTTAAAATACAATAGAAACTTTGATATTACTTCTCTTAATAAGTTAGTTTTGGAGTAAGATCTAAACATAATGTAACCCATGTTGAGTTAGTCTGTAAGTAAACGCAACTGTAAAATTAAGTTCCATGATGTTATAAGTTTTTATGTATCACTTTGGCTTCCTATTAAATAAAATTAAATAAAAATAAATGAACCAGATTATCGGGTGTCTATACATCATGTCACTTACTTGGCCAATTGTTTTTCAACATCTGAAGCCAATGTGCCATCTCTGTTGTATCGAAGAAACACTTCACTTTGAGCCAAGAGTAGTTCTTTTGGAGGAGCTTTTAGATGCTCTTCACCACCGTACTTGTCCAACACTGATTGTTTCACCTATAAAAAATATATAATATAGTTATTATATATCATTCTTATAAATATACATTATATACATTAGCAGCGCCACACTCATTATGTTTTTTATGACGAGTTACTAACGAGAGCTCTCTTAAGTCAGTGGTGGCCTAGCAGTTAAAAGGCCTGCCTCTCATACATGAGGGCGCGGGTTCGATCCTGGCAAGTACAAATATGATTTTTCCGAGTCATATGTACTTTCTAAGAGTATTTAGACATCACTGATTAATGCATTTCCAAAGAGGGTTGATGTCATTCAGGCGGTCAGTTGTAAAAACAAATATCCAGAACTATTCACAACATGTAAGGCAGACCCTGGCTATAGCTGGGAAATTGCCAGGTAGAAGAAGAATATATATATTGTGAGCCATAGTCAAACAATAAGGATCAGTGGTAACCATTGCCTATATTAGAAGCGGCAAGAAGAGTAACTCATTAAGAAGATATACTAGCTAATTTATTTGCCTTTGCATAAATCCCTAAAATTGATCTTAATTGTATAATCATTTTGTTCTATAACATTAATTAGTGAATTTCTTGTGATAATTTAATTAACATTGAAATAGTCTTAAATGAATATTGTGCAGCTGTTTTGTTTTTATCTTTTTTTTAAAGAATAAACCTTTTGTTTTTATGAATATATACCCATATCCTACTAATATTATAACTGCGAAAGTTTGTGAGTGTGTGTGTATGTTTGTTTCTTCTTAACGCTCAAACGGCTGAACCGATTTTGATAAAATTTTGTATAAAGGAAGCTGACGTCCAGGAATAACATATAGGCTACTTTACATCCCGGAAATCCGTGGGTAACACCGCGGTGCGCAGCTAGTATGTACATAAACATGTAGTTGTATATGTTATCTTTTCAATCAATATATCTATTCAATATAGTCTTAATACACATAATTGGTATCAAACTTCACCTGTGTTTTGAACTGTTCCTTCTTCGCGTCATATTCTTTTTGGAGCAGTTGTAACTTGGTTGGTTCAGCCAACAGATGTACATCTAAACCTCTGTGGTGAGCGTCCCACGCGAACAACTGGGCGGCTGCGTGGGAACGAGTGTCTCCACTAAAACGGACGAAGTTCTCACCAGCGTACTCTGACCTGGAAAAAAGTTTCATACATGGGTTAAAAAAATCTAAGGTCCACAAAAATCTCTCTCATCTCACTCATCGGTCTATCAAAGCCTACTGAAGAAAGGCCTCTTTTAACATGGAGAAGGTATTAGTAAACACAGATCTAGTGAGACCAAACTTCTTAGCATTCAATGTATTCATATGCGGGTTTCGGGTCCATTTTTGTAGTGAGAGGAGCTTCAACAGTGACTGTGACTTGCGACCCAGGTGTAGGTTTAAGGGATCCCTATCTAACGCGCTTTAAATGCTCACCTCTACTGTCCAAGCTCCTCTCCCTACCTAACCAAATTTGAAAAGAACCTACTAGGGCTGCCTTTGAAGTACGTTCCAAGAATGAATAGATTTTAGTTCTGGACAGGCCCAATTATTTTAGTAGGTTGTAGAGAGATTTTACTTTTATACATCTCGCCCCCACTTCTACTATTTACAAATTCAACGACCCTATTCCTAGTGAGTTCATTAGTAAGCTAATAACATTTATTGATCTTGATGGTATAGTCTTTGAGGATATTGGTTTCTCAAGGAAATGTAAGCTACCATCGCAATGAATTTTAAAATTCACAAATACATAAATATGTCTTGTCTGGAGGCTAACAAACAATATCCTTTAAGATTTCTACTACTACTCTTATTCTTAGTGAGCTAATAACACATCATAATTTCCCAAAGAGGGTTGATGTCAGGCAGGCGGATCGTAAAAACAATTAGCCAAAACTATTCACAACACGTAAGGCAGACCCTGGCTAAATCTAAGAAATTGCCAGGTAGAAGAAGAACACTTATTATATGTAAATAACTTACTCGTCACCATTCGGATTAGGATTATCTCTCATTGAACGCGTCTTCGGGTCGTAGTAAGCCGAATTGAGGTCCAAATTTCGCAAATACTTGGCTGTGTCCTCACGAATACGAAGATTACGAACTGTTATACGTTGTTTAGAATCCACCTGTAATTATATTATTGATTTACTACTATATACCACTTTTTAGAACCTAAATTTCAGTTATTGTTGACAAAAGGCAAGGAAATTCTAGTTCATATTATTTTAAATGAAAACTTTAGATAGCAAATTTCAGTTATTATTTATTAAGACAATGAAATTCTATTGTATATTAATTTTACTATCAACACATATTTTGAATTGAGTAAATTAAAAAATGAAATACTCATTCAAAAATAATAACAATAATGTATAACTTGCTCCTGAAATTTATTATGTGGAGTAAAAAATAATATAACATTTAAATGAAACTAATATTATTTGGATTACTAAACGTATTTTATTATTTTAAACTACATACTGCCGATCATTTGATTACTTTTCAGCAACAATGATCATTAAGACAATATGTGATCAACTAAGAGTATGTTTTTTTTAAAAGTAATAAAATACGCATAGTATTATGAAAAATATTAGTTTCACTTAAATGAATACTGCGAAACTCTTAGAGCTCATATACAATATGACATATATACATATGTATATACAGGGTGACTGGTGAATTACTATCGATTTTTGAGGACGTGATATGTGACGATCATATATGACAAAATAAAAATTAATATAACATAAATATTAATAAACTTCTAAGTAAAGTTAACCAAAAGTTATGTAATTAATTACGCATCGTATGAACACCCTACAGATTAGGTATACACACACACTCACACATACACGCGCCGCGGCGTGTTGTTGTATCAGCACGCCGCCGCACGCGTCCACACTTGGAACACTTGGAACGTGTCCACGCATTATTTATTTATACGGAAATTTGGTCAAAAATTAAGTGCCTATTTTTTTTACATAATTCGAATGAGAATCATGTACCGAGTATGCTCCTTAAATATTGATAGTAATTCACCAGTCACCCTGTATATACTAAAGTATATGTTATATATTATATTCCCTATGTATATATATTAATAATATCTTACTTTAGTCCCGGGCATGTCCACTTCATCAACATATTTATCTTCATCTTCACCCTCCAAGTCATCTTCCTCGGTTGCTGTCGGGTCTGAAAATAATTATGACATTTTATATATAAGTAAATGGTACTTTATTAATAACAAAACTAACGAAAATTACTTATTTATGTATAAATAACATTGAAATATAATTAAGATTAATTTTTTATTCAAAAAGTTAAAATTATTACATATAATTATTGATGGTTTTATGTATTTTATTAAAAGTATTCTTGATGTATATGTATATTGAATAAGCTTAAAATAAATATTCTGTAGTAAATTATGATTATTGATAAATATTATAATATCTACAAGTTTATATTAAGCTTGAGACATCTGAATAAAATGCTGTGAATCCTCAGCAGCTTAGTAACTTTATATATGTACATCAATTATTTGAGCCACAGTTTCAGACTTTTAATATTCAGCGTTACTTCCAGTTATCTTATAAAATGGCTGAGGCCAGTTTATCGTTTTCAATAACAAGTTCATTATTTTAATTAATTATAATCCTACTAATATTATAATTGCGAAAGTTTGTGAGTGTGTGTGTATGTTTGTTACTTCTTCACGCTCAAACGGCTGAATCGATTTTTATAAAATTTTGTATACTGACGCTGACGTCCAGGAATAACATATAGGCTACTTTACATCCCGGAAATCCGGAAACACCGCGGGGCGCAGCTAGTTTGTTATAAATATAATTCTAAGGATTATAGTATATTATAATTATTTTGTTACACATAGCTTATAATTATTATTATATCACAGTACCTTGTTCAAGTTTCTCCGCTCTTAATTCCCTCTTAGCATCTTCAACTTTCTGATATTCTTCTATAATAGCCTTGTGTTGTTCTGGGTTGTATCCGTTCCATCGATCCCTCTTTCCATCGTAACTCAGATTTAGATTCGGTTGACTGAACTCATCCGGAGCTATGCCGACGTTACTGAATTTTGCACCGATCTAGAAATGAACAACATGTTTCATATCAACATGTGTTTAATGAGATCTAAGATTTCTGTGAGTATTCATTTCAATGAAACTAAAATTGTCGGATTTACTACGCGATTTTTTATTTTTGAGTTTTGACTAAACTACATACTCCCGACGGCTACTGTAAAATACTTGACGGAGTATGTTGTTTATAGTCAAAAATAAAAAATCGCGTAGTAAATCCGAAAATATTAGTTTCATCAACATGTGTTATTAGTATGGGAATGTATAGTATATAGGTATTATGATAAATATTTTATTATCTACATATAATTATGAGATCTAAGATTTTTGCGAGTAGTAATTTAAATGAAACTAATGTTTTTTCAGATTACTGTTCGCATTTTATTATTTTAAACTTCATACTCCCGAAGTTTCGTTTACTTTTGAGCAACCGTGATCACATCCCGACGGTACATCTCATATGTGAGTATGTAGTTTTTAAAATAATAAAATACGCGAAGTAATCTGAAAAATATTAGTTTCATCTATAAATAATATTGTTATATAATCTAATAGCCTAAACATCACATATATGTATGTATTACAATAATCTCTACTAATATTATGAATGCGAAAGTAACTCTGTCTGTCTGTTACGTATTCACGCCTAAACCACTGAACTGCTTTTAATGAAATTTGGTACAGACGTAGAGTTGACCTTGAGAAAGAACAAAGGATAGTTTTTATCCCAGACTTTTGGAAGGTTCTCTTGGAAACGCGATATAACCGAACTCCACGCGGGTGAAGCTGCGGGCGGATAGCTAGTTTCAATGTAAATGTTACATTACAAACCTTTCTAGGTCTCTCTAAACAATCCTTCTTCTTGTGTGTCATCGCACCACAGTTCTCGCAGGCTCCCTTTCTATACTTGGTGGCTGCGTAACCCTGTAGCAAACAATATTACCTTAACTATTAACTCATGACTTAAGATTTACTTAATGAAAAAACTTATTGGAAAATATGTTCTAAATTTTATAAAATAAATTCACTACACTTGTATTATACTGAAATAGGTTTGTAAGCTAGTAAATTGATATAGAATTTATTTTTATTTGTCTGTAGCTGTTAGCCCAAATAGCTTTGACAGTATCACCAAAGGGGATAAAACTGTGAAGCATTATATTAAAATGTTTATATTTTATATTTATGTTTGACTTGTTTATTCATGAACACTATATTTAATTTCACCTATATTGATTTAAAATTATTTACTATGCCTATGTATTTCAGGGTATCATTTATCACATTATTTTATACATTTTCATATGTTATTATAATCTTACAGTGACTCCTTTATTGTAATATGTGTCAAGTTTAGTGAACTCCGCTTCTCTGTCCTCTTGAGGCCGTTGATGTTTAAGAGTTGGGCCTGCCGTTCCATAATACCACGGTGCAGATGAAATGTACTGAGGTATGTGAGGGTTAATGTCCTTTCCTGGAATTAATTACTTCCTTAACACAATAAAGATAGAATAGTAGATGATGTAATGAGACCAAACTTCTTAGCATTCAATGTATTTATATGCGTGTGTCGGGTCCATCGTTGTAGAGAGAGGAGCTTTAACAGTGCCTGGGACTTGTGACCTAGGTGTAGGTTTAAGGGGCCCCTTAAGCTCCTCTCCCTACCTAACCAAATTTGAAAAGAACCTACTAGGGCTGCCTTCGATGTACATAATATTATTACATACGATAATTTATTCAGATAATAAACCAAACATGGAAGATAAAAGTATGTTATCATAATATTGATGGCTCTAAGTATAAGTGCCAATGTCCAAAATAACAATTATTCAGTAGATGCATTTTGAGTTTGATTTCAATGTAAGATACATTGAAATCAAACTCAAAATGCATACATACAACTGATGCTTTTGAAACTTTGCATAGCAACTATGACATACATGTACGTCATTAAAGCTTGATAAACTTTTTTGTAAACTAGTTTTGTTTTATTATTTACGTAATATAAGTTCTTATACGTTAAAAAGTGTGTTGCTTATGCTTTTCACCAATAAATACATTTTTTTTATAATGGATGTTGTACAATACAGTATTACGAAGTGTTAAAAGCAAAAAAATTAAAATGGGCAAATTGATGGCCATCGATATGTACCTGTTTCATCAACAGCAGCGGGGGCTGTTCCGGCTTTCCGAGCTTCTTCTAACTCTTTAGCCTTCCTCCAATCCTCACGAGATTTCTTTTTAGGTTCATCTTCTTCGTCACCTGTGTCGTCTTTGTTTCGCAAAATCTGTGAGACCGCCACTCGGGTACCACTCGCCATCTTTATTTATTTTTATAAGTAAAATCTTCCGAATAATTAAATGTATGGAATTTTGCTTGAGTGCTATCAAACCTTTAATTATAATTACGCGTAAATACTCAAGTCACAAGAGTATAACCCATTTAACTCATCTTGTTTGTTGTTAATGTCAACGTCAAAATGACCCATCAAGTATGTTATTTTTAAATGATCTTACTTTTCTGCCTTGAATTCTAGCTATAAAAGACTCTTAACAATCTTTGAAGGGTTTCTTATTTCCGTTCCTCTTAATATCGATTAAATAAAAATTTATATTTAATAAACATTATACTAATTTTTGAAAACCTGAGTTCATGTAAGCATTCGTTGGTAAATTGACTTTAAACAGATTAATTAATCTAATATTTTTATAACATGTATCCTAATTTCTAATGTTATTATAGAGTTTGAAATAATACTTGTATTTTTGTATATTCGTCTTCAAAGGCACTTTCATCTCCCCCGCACTTGATCACAGCTGTGTTAAGTAATCGAAATGTATGGTAAAATGTAAAACAAAAGTGCATAGCGTATTTAAAAATTACTTTAATTTCAAATGTGCACTTGCAAATTTTAGATGTATTATCTTTTGAATCTATAATTTAAATTGTAATACTGTGGCCTCAATGACAAACAAATTTCTGGTGAATTAAAATAGTGATATTAATTTTTAAAAAATTTATGTCTTGATTAATAAAACTAAGAATCAAATATAGAATACCCTTTATTACATCGGTTTGGACGTGTCAGTATCACGTAAATTGAATATTCATATAAATAAGGTTTTAATTCAATAAACAAGAAATTCAATATATAACATTTATTATTCATAATGATCGTATTATTCATAGTTTGCGCCTCGCCCGTGGTCTGTGGTAAGAAGGTCGCGGTACACATACTCGTTCGTTACTGTCGCCTTGTCCACTTTCGTCCAATGGTTCAGCTCGTGGAGTGAATAACTTGCGACGGCTTCGAGTCACGCTGTAACATTTTATATGTAATAATTTTAATTATTAATAAAATTTTGCATAATTATACATTTTACTCAGTTTTTTTTTGATATTGTGACATATTAATTGAGTCTCGGGCGAAATTGGCGCGAATAATGACAATCTCCATTGACGTTTGATAACAGAAACAAATTATACAAAATTATTTAAGTTGTTAAATATGATATTAATTTTAATGAAATTAATCTAAAATATCTCAAAATGAAATGAAAATAAGTAAGATATATATTTGGATAAAATGTTAGTTATGGAAGTAAAAAAGGGTTAATTCTTATGTATGATTTTAAAGAATGTCAGGAAGGTTATATTGAGATACATTTTATTAGACTTTTTAAGCGAACAAATTAGAAGCTGTATAAGCAAAAGCCAGAGTAATAAAGTGATGGTTAGCTAAAAATAAAGTTAAAATTACCTTTTCGCAGGACAGCTCTGTATACCCATCATCGGTGGAATATTTTCATCAATTTTCTCTGGAGAGGGAATATCTTTGTTTTTCTTAAATGGCGCGGGCATGTCCATAGTGACGTCTGAGAACTCATTCTGTAGATTCGCTATGTCTTTGAGTTTAATTTCTTTTTCCGAATCTTCTTCTTCCGATTGATTCTTTCTTCTGCGTGACCTTAGATTTCTTCTGGGCTTCTCTACGTCTTTTCTCGCATCGATTTTGGTCTTTTCAGTCTTTCTATGACGCAGTTTGTATTTAACTTCGTCAGTTTCTTCGTTGTTGTTGCTTTTGTCACAATCTTCGATACTCGACTCTCTAATCTCTTGCGACACTAACAATTCAAACTCCGTGGCTCGCGGTACTGTTATATCTTTATATATATTATCGAATTCTTCCAAAGTATTATTATTTATATTTGCGCGAGATTCGTCAGTTATTTTAATATCTATATTTTGATCAATTCTCTCTTTCTTTATGTCAGTTATAATTGATACGTCTGTATTATCTTCTGGTTTTGTTTTTATTTCTTCCGATGCAATAACTTTATCGCTACATGTTTTTTTAGTTTCCAAATTGTTCGTATTTAAATCATCTTCATGTGAATCTTTAACTTCATCCTTAATATGCTCTAATTCGTCTTGTGGTAGTTTTATTTCTTCATTTAGTTCATGTTTTATTGTGTCATTTTCTTGATCATTTTTATTATTTTTCAAGTCATTATTTTCAATATTAATATCAATACTTTCTATAATGTTTTCCTCTTCCTTTATATCTATCACGACATTCGAAGTTCGTTTATTTTCATTGCCCACTGTTTCTTCTACAACAGTGTCTGTTTTATCGACTACAACCATATCAGCAATAGATTTCCTTACAGTTTCGATATTATCTTCGATTCTGGGAGTAATTCGGGGTGAATCTTCAAACAAATCGATAGAAATGTGGTTTTTAGGGCACACCCTAACTAAATTCATTGGTATATTCCTAGCTTGTCTCTTGCTGTCTCCTAGTAATTTCTTTATCATGCTCGGTGTGAATTCTAAAGTACATTCTTCTCTCACTATAGACGGAGATCTATCATCTATCTGTTTTTTAATATCGTCTAAAACAGTTTTCGGCTCCGCGTTCAGATTATCGAAGAATATCTTCCTTTCTTTTGCGACGGGCGATTCATTTGGTATATCGAAGTAATGTCTGTTCTCTTTCAATATATTTATATCAGTTAAAACTTCGGTGGCATTAAAATCTTTGTTAGTTACCTTAGTTTCTAACTCTAGCCGTTCAAATTGTGCGAGAGAGTTATTGCTATCTGAGGTCGACGCTTCTTTGATGGAGCTTATAATTTTATTGACAAATGTATCCGGCTTTTTGTCTTGAGTCAGTTCAATGTCTTTTAAACTTAAATCCTTTTCAGTACTACCAACATGATTATCATCATTATCGACTTCCGGTTCCTGTTCCGTTGTATTCAATAGATCTTTAACCGATACATTACAATCCGGAACACAATACGTTTCTCTGCTTAACTTAGCGCGATCATTATCACATACAACTTCATTATGATCTCCAACATAGTATGTTCCGCGTACATCAAGTTTCTTGACGGTACATATTTTATCAGTGTCTATACTATCTGTGGCACTACAATCTAAGTCACTGACGTATTTGCTAGTATCGTTCCCGCGACTTTCGTCTTTAAGTGTATCAATAGTTCCATCGAGCACACTATTATCATTTCCACTATCTATATCTTGGACAGCACTCTGTCTGTGTAATCTCGATCTATTAATATCCTCCTTCTTGAAAGTCGGTTCAAGACTTTCATTACAAGGATCGTCATCACTGTCACTATCACTATCAGTGAGAGATATATTCTCAGAGATAGGATCTTCATCAGGTTTTTCTGGAATTAAATATTAAAATTAATAAAGAAATATTACTATTATATGTCGGGGATAGTGCAAATCCGCGTAGCTACCGTTGGATAATTCCGATTATCTGGAAGCAGATTATCAGAATTATTAAAGTTTAATTTATTATTAATTGTGAAAAAAATACCTCAAAAGTCGTTAATATAAAAACTAATTCAGCTCAATCTTTCTTCTGTTAATCTGCTTCCAATTTAGATACGCGGAATTATACAATCCTAGTTACGTGGATTTGCACTATTCCCGACGATATATATAACATATTTACGGGCTTAAATAACCACGATAGCGTAATTATACAAGCAAGTTGAACATTATATTATACTATGCATACATATGTTCTATATAAATTTTCTTTGTATATTAAAATATTCAATAAATAAATAATTAGCCAAACAACCAACCATCTCTTTCTTCTATACAGGCTCTCAAATGCTGGACTTCTTCTTCGGCCCGAGCTCGTGCTAACTTCTCAGCTTGTAATTTTTCCTACATCACATTAAATAACATTAATATTACTTCAATTAAATTAATATTTAGGTACTAGCTTTCCGCCCGCAGCTTCGCCCGCGTGGAGTTCGGTTATATCGCGTTTCCAAGAGAATCTTTCAAAAGTATGGGATAAAATCTTTCCTATGTTTTTTCTCAAGGTCAACTCTATGTCTGTACCAAATTTCATTAAAATCAGTTCAGTGGTTTAGGCGTGAAAGCGTAACAGACAGACAGAGTTACTTTCGCATTTATAATAATAATAATATTAGTAGGGATATGAATGTTATTATGTCATTCAACAATTTTGTTTACCTCTAGTATAGCGATTTCAGTCATGAGTTGGTTGACCTGTAAACAAATATATATTGATATTATAACTATAATATATTTATTTAATTAATATGGCTTTATGAATTAACCGCTAGTTATCATCGACACTACATATGGAGTTTTCGGTTTTTTTTTAACTTATGAAGGTTTATAAATGAACAATGTGTAGTGTGACAAAAGTTCATTGACTTCATTTAATTATAATCTCTTGTACATATATTCTTTAATTATATATAAACTGAATGAAACAAATATTTTTTATATATACATACTACGCGTGGTATAATTTGAAAAATATTAGTTTCATTTAAATGAATACTCGCGAGTCTTACATCTCATTAAATATATCTGTTTCCGAACTTTGAAATATAATAATTATATTGTATAAAAACTTTAAACTTTTATTATTTTTATATACAGGGTGACTGGTGAGTTACTATCAATATTTAAGGAGCATACTCGGTACATGATTCTCATTCGAATTATGTAAAAAAAATAGGTACTTAATTTTTGACCAAATTTCCGTATAAATAAATAAAGTTTGGATACGTACTCATCCTTGCCGGCGCCAGTGTGTCGCTACTCCCCAACCCCCGCCCCGTGGCTAGCGGGCCATTAGTCGGCTATTAGTCGCGCGAGCGCCGCCGTAAGGTCCGTACGTTCGTCTTCCCGCGCGCGCGCGCCTAGCGATCGATCTTACGCGTATACCTAATAATAATCTGTCGTGTGTGCGTGTGACCCGTTATTACTTATTAGTAATTAAATATGGCTTTTCAATACACAAATGCAGAATACTTGGACATGGTTTATGCGTATGCGCGTGCAAATGAAAGCTTGCGGGGCGCAATCAATTTGTACCGGGAGATGTTCCCCAATCGTCGAGTACCTACGGCCAGCGTCATCTTAAACGCTAATCAAAGATTACGAGACTTCGGACAGTTCCGTGTTCCAACACATGCCCAAGGAAACGTCTTGTGTATGCTACAATGTATGTCAACAGAGAGGAGTTGAAATTAAAAATCAATAGTGCTTTCGAAACTATTAAAAGTGACCCATTCGTATTAAATCGTGTGAAAGACAATATGTGTAAACGTGCCGAACTGTGTATCACACGAGAAGGAGCTCGCTTTGAACATTTGTTAAGGTTAGTGTAGTTATGTAGGTAAATAGGTAGTTTAATGATTGACAATTGTTGTAAATAAGAATGATTCCATTTTTAAATACGCCGGAAATACCAAGATAGGTAAACAGTTCATATTATTTTTCGTGTCAAGGTCACACCATTTACCTAGTCAATAAATTGGTTGCTTAAACGAAAGAAATATCTTGGTATTTTGCCTGTCCTAAGCCAGGATTAAAGTATGAAGGGAATTGGATCATTTTTGTTTATCTAAGGTCTAACACGCGGCGGCGCGCGGCGTTTGGATGTAGGTAAACTACCGCGCGATAACTATATATACCTACGTACATAACTGTTTTGTGTCGATAACGCAGCTAGGGTATCCACGCGATCCGTAATTAATTACATAACTTTTGGTTAACTTTACTTAGAAGTTTATTAATATTTATGTTATATTAATTTTTATTTTGTCATATATGATCGTCAACTACCACGTCCTTAAATATTGATAGTAACTCACCAGTCACCCTGTATATCGGCGCTACCAGCTTTAATAACGGATGCGACTTGAAAATAATTAGAGGCTGTCATCAATTCTTATTAAACCTCATTAGTATTTATGATTATTGTTAAAAGTAAAACGAAATCAAAAGAGAATAGAATTATGTTTGAATCAAAAATATGACGTCTGGACTCACGACGGCGGACTCCAGAATTGAGAATTCAGCATTGATAATTCAGAGTTCAGTGAGAGTGTAACATTGAAGTAGGTTAATATGAAGAATCTTTGAGAAATACAGGAGTATTAAGAACAATTGCAGTTTCATTTTAAAATATCATCGAATGCTCTAGAAGAAGTGATATTTGTTACGTCAGCGAGGCTGGCGTCCCTCTCTTGAAAAACAACGAATGTGTAATAAATCTGATATATATAATAATAATTATAATACTACCTTAGCGTCAATATTTTTCGATGGTGTATCTTGTTTACTGGGTTGTACAGCATTCAGTCTCGATTCATATTCTTCTACCATTTCAGCCATCTGAAATAAATATATATATATTATTGGAAATTATTTTTATTTGATAATAGTGTATACAAAATTTATGAATTAAGTACTTAAGATATATAATGACAACGAAATTAGATAAATGTTATTAAAAAAACGATTTTTGGGGTAAATTTAATTACCATGTTTTTTTATAATTTTCGTAAATCACATAAAAGTAAATATTTCTTCAATCATTGTTAACATACTGTTTGAATTTAATGTGGAAAAACTAAGCAAGTACCTAGTTCTTAGTTGAAAACGGAAAATGTATTACAAACATTAACTTAATATTATATTAATGTTGAAATTTTTGTTTAATAATATTATTTTATAATGATAAAATATATGATACAAATAAATATTGACTGTTAACTACATGTAAAAAAAGTCAAGATACCTAAAATAATTGTTATTACTTATTAGTATGCACAACTTTAAATATCATGCTGATTTAATTTGAAAAATGTTTGATTTGTAGGATCAAGATATCACCAGGTGTAGATTATGCTTATAAATATGTTAAATTCCAAAAATAATAAAATAATCATTTTCTATGTAGAGTTATTATGAAAATATTATAAGTCCATTTCGTCGAACTGAGGTTTGCAATTCATTCTTTAGTTTCTCAGTTTACCTTTAATATCTGTTCAATTTAACTAAAACTTCATTCTCTTCATGTCATATACCACATTGTTATTTTCTTTTTAAGAATTACCACGTTATTCCTAAATATGTATGTATATTAATTCTTGAAGGCAGCCTTAGTAGGTTCTTTTCAAATTTGGTAGAGAGAGTAGCTTGTACAGTGGAGGTGAGCGTTTAACGCGCGTTAGATAGGGACCTTTAAACCTACACCTGGATCACAAGTCACAGTCACTTGTTGAAGCTCCTCTCTACAATATACCCGGCATCATCATATGAATATATTGAAAGCTGAGAGGTTTCATCTTATAATCCTACTAATATTATAATTACGAAAGTTTGTGTGTGTGTATGTTTGTTACTTCTTCACGCTCAAACGGCTGAACCGATTTTTATAAAATTTTATATACAGGAAGCTGATATCCAGGAATAACACATAGGCTACTTTACATCCCGGAAATCCGCGGGTAACACCGTGTTGCGCAGCTAGTATATTATATATTCCGGTTATATGTTATTATATGTTATCCGGTTATAAGGCTCGGCGACCTTCGTATCGCCCTATAATCAGGAAATATATGTTACGTTTTTTTATTTATACTTTTGGAGTTTACCTATTAAAGCCATAAATCTCCATGTTTTGAAGTGCGACAGAATGATTGACATATCAGTAGTTGTCAAATCTAATGTAAAAAAAAACGTTTGTATCAACGACTACTAATAAATTAAAAATAAATTAAGAAACCATTGTCATTGACAAAATTGTGAATCTAAACCATTCCCAGATACCCTTGAACACACACAAAAAACTTCATCAAAATCGGTCCAGTCGTTTGAGAGAAGTTCAGTGACATATACGCTCACAGAAGAATTATACAGGGTGACTGGTGAATTACTATCGATACTTGAGGACGTGATATATGACGATCATATATGACAAAATAAAAATTAATATAACATAAATATTAATAAACTTCTAAGTAAAGTTAACCAAAACTTATGTAATTAATTACGCATCGTGTGAACATCCTACAGATTAGGTATACACACACACACACAAACGCGTGCGGCGGCGTGGTGTTGTATCAGCACGCCGCCGCACGCGTACACACTTGGGACACTTGGAACGTGTCCACACTTTATTTATTTATACGGAAATTTGGTCAAAAATTAAGTACCTATTTTTTTTACATAATTCGAATGAGAATCATGTACCGAGTATTCTCCTTAAATATTGATAGTAATTCACCAGTCACCCTGTATATATAAAGATATACCTCGTTCCGTAGTACTTTAAGTTGTTCTTCATAGTAGCTAGCAGTAATCTCTCTCGCCTCAGAAACCAGTTCCCTCATAGTCTCTGCCCCGGCGGCCTGTCGTTGCTCCATGTTTGATAAAAGCTCCGCATTACGTGACTGAGCTCTGGAAAACAAAACATTTTATTTAAATTAAACTAATATTTTTCGTATTATACCTATTACGCGACAGTGGTGGCCTAGTGGTTAAAATGTCCTCCTCTCATGCACGAGGGCGCGGGTTCGATCCTGGCAAGTACCAATTTGATTTTTCCGAGTCATATGTACTTTCTAAGAGTATTTAGACATCACTGATTAATGTCGATTCCCAAAAGAGGGTTGATGTCAGGCAGGCGGCCGGTCGTAAAAACATTTAGCCAAAAACTATTCACAACATGTAAAGCAGACCCTGGCTATATCTGGGAAATTGCCAGGTAGAAGAAGAAGACCTACTACGCGACTTTATTTTCGTAAAAAACTACATATTCCCTACACATCTCGTCTTTATGATCACGGTTGCTGAAAAGTAACCGAAATGTCGGGAGTATGTAGTTTTTTTACAAAAATAAGGCACGCGTAGTATATAGAAAATGCTATCTCATTAAAACATTTAGATTTTTTTACTAACAAAATGTCATCATCTAACTAAGAGAAAACCATGTATTAATATGTATTTGTATTTACGAATATTGATAAATAGCCAATGATAGTGATTTAGACATAATATATCTTATTAGAATAGTTATTATTTTCATTATGGACATAAAATAAACAGTTTTCTATGTTATATATGTATTATAAATAAATAAGCATTGTCTGTTTGTGATATACAAATAACCGTTTCTTACTATATTAAACGGTAAGTACACAAAATATATATTTTTTACAATATCTGTTTATCTGTATGTATGTCCCAGGTAAATTCTTAAACGGCTGGACAGATTTTGACCGGACTTTAATTGTAAGGTACCTAATGCAATAACGAGTAACTTAGAATGCTTTTTATCCTGATCTCCAAATTAATCGTTATCACCCGCGAGAAAAAGCTTGTTTTTATTACTTTTATTTTACACAGACGGAGTCGCGTGTAATAGCAAGTTTATTATATTATCTATGTCTCCAATATATATAGTGAAAATCCGCGTAACTACCATTGGAAACAGATTATTAAAAAAATTTTGAACCAAAATATTTTCTGAATTAACCACTTTTAAAGTAATTTTTTCACAATTAGTAATAAATTAAACACTAAATAATTACTAATTCTGAAAAAAATATCTTAAAAGTCGGTTAATTTATAAAATAATTCAGCTTAAACTTTCTTCTAATGATTTGCTTCCAATGTAGATATGAGAAATTATTCAATGTAATATCTGAGAAATTACGCGGTTTTAGATTATATACAGGGTGACTGGTGAATTACTATCAATATTTAAGGAGCATACTCGGTACATAATTCTCATTCGAATTATGTAAAAAAAATAGGTACTTAATTTTTGACAAAATTTCCGTATAAATAAATAAAGTGTTGACACGTTCCAAGTGTTCAAGTGTGGACGCGTGCGGCGGCGTGCTGATACAACACTACGTCACGACACGCGTATGTGTGAGTGTCAGTGTATACCTAATCTGTAGGGTGTTCACACGATGCGTAATTAATTACATAACTTTTGGTTAACTTTACTTAGAAGTTTATTAATATTTATGTTATATTAATTTTTATTTTGTCATATATGATCGTCAAATATCACGTCCTCAAATATCGATAGTAATTCACCAGCCACCCCGTATATTCAGTATTATCTTATATATATTCAGTAGTTTTTACTCACTGCGCTAGTTCAAAGTGCAGCCTCCCATTTTCCTCCCTCAGCCTCATTATTTCAGCATTGTATGTAATACTCATGTCTTGAGAGGTCGTGTCTTCCAAAGAGCTCGGATAGTCAGATATTGTATTATTTATCTCTGGAAACAGATAAATTATATTAAAAATCTTAATTTGTATACATTTCATAATAAACTTATTTATGTATCTAATTTGTTGTAAGGCTTTTTGTGATAGAATAGTTTTTTTCTATCATTACAATACTCGTTGATTGTATGAAATATAATTTTCATGATTTTAAGTTATATAATACAATTTTTTCCATATTTTCGTTAACAATATATAAATTAAATAAGTAAAATGTATGTATTTGAATTTGAACTAAAATGTTAACTCTGTGATTACATGCACTCTGTTACTATTTCAGCATGTAATGGTTGCCTGTAACTGAGGTAGAACATAGCATCTTAATTGTATTAATTTAAATGGTTGTATTTGTGTATACTTTGTTCTCGATTCAATAAATAAAATGAAGAAATTTTCATTTAGACGGGGAAACGTATACGAAATTAGATTATTTGGCAGTTATTTTTGAATAATTTGATGATAATGATATTTTTTCTTCACTTATAATTAATATTATTAATAATATTGAATCTAACGTATATCTTTAGCGACGGCCGCTAGTTGCAGCACGTGTCTCGTCTCGTTAGCGTATTCGGGAGACGGGTTCAGGGTCACCACCATACTGACAGCCTCGCCGCGCGCTCCCGACAACCCTGACCCTAGAAGACGAGTCAACTTGGATTCCCTGCAACAAAATAAGTATAGAGTATACACACATCACACAGGATATTTTGGTAAAGTATAGAAATAAGCAGCATTGAGTATAGACACAGGATGTTTTGGTAATGTCCACCTTTAGTTAATGATATAGCATCTAAAAGACTAAAACCACTGTAGTATCTTATATTATACTAGCTTTCCGCTCGCAGCTTCGCCCGCGTGGAGTTCGGTTATATCGCGTTTCCAAGAGAACCTTTCAAATGTCTGGGATAGAAGCTATTCTATGTTCTTTCTCAAGGTCAACTCTATCTCTGTACCAAATTTCATTAAAATCAGTTCAGTGGTTTAGGTGTGAAAGCGTATTTTCCATTGTTTACCCCCCGCAACCTTCCTTGTGAGTGGAATTTCGTGAAATCCGTTCTTAGCTGACCTCTACTCGGTGAAAGGAATAATCCTACCAAATGTCAAGTCGCTACGCCTTATCGTTCTAGAGATATCGTGATGAGTCAATATATAGCTGGAAATCTGTGTTTCAGTCAGTCCCCGCCTCACCTATACGGTATAACGGTCCTAGCGGGCGCCTTCGCCCCCTTCCTCCGGAGCGCCCGGAGACACCTTTCCAACACGTGTAGCGACGAATTGATAGCTCGCGACTCACACATACGTGCGCCCGTGTTGCGGGTCCGAGCCGCGCGCTCGCAGCCCGCCAGGTCACATAGACGGACGTGGGACGCGCCCACCACGCCATCTGGAGAACGGCACACGAATACACATTAAATGATTACATACTTTAATAAAAAAATAAGTAAATAGGTATAAAAATAAAATTATATAATACACTCACACGCACACATGTAAAATGTTTTCCATTTACATTTTTAATCTAAAAAATAAGTTAAATATTTGTTATTTTATAATTGTATGTTTCGATATATGTATATCCAGGAGGAGGAGCGTGGATTTTGAGATACAGGTTAAACCTACTTCAAAATTCCTGTTGCTGACTATTGATGTACAAACTGATTTAAACAATACATTTTTCTTTATACTTGCAGCATAACTATGTCACAGTGGCGTGCGTGAGATTTAAGTCAGTGGTGGCCTAGTGGTTAAAAGGCACGCCTCTCAGGTATAAGGGCGCGGGTTCGATCCTGGCAAGTAACAATGTGATTTTTCCGAGTCATATGTACTTTAAGAGTATTTAGACATCACTGATTAATGCATTCCCAAATAGAGTTGATGTCAATCAGGCGGCCGGTCGTAAAAACAATTAGCCAAAACTATTCACAACATGTAAGCCAGACCCTGGCTATAGCTGGGAAATTGCCAGGTAGAAGAAGAATTTGGTGTAGGGTAAGCATAATATGTTTGAAAAAAAAAAACAATTTACATCATAATTACCTCCTCTAAAGCATAGATAATGAGATCTAAGACTTTTTAGTATTCATTTAAATGAAAGAATATTATAATACTACGCGTATTTTATTATTTCTAACAGCAGAGATATCTACCGTGATCAAGCTAGCTGCGAGGTTACTGAAACTTCTAGAGTATGTGGTTCTTAAAAAATAATAATATAGACAACCCAAAAATATTAATACAAATACTGTCCTTTTCCATGCCTTGATAACATTTAATTGTAACAACACTTAGCTAAAAATGTAATTACTTTTATTTTTAAAACCTATAAATGGTGTATGTTTTGTAAGTTGTCCTTATATGTATAAATAAACTAGAAGACCCAGCGAACTTCGTATCGGTCTATAATCAAGAAATATCTGTTACGTTTTTTTATTTATATTTTTGGAGTTTACCTATTAAAAACATAAATCTCCGTGTTTTGAAGTGCTACAGAATGATTGACATATTAGTTAGTTGTCAAATCTAATGTCAAAAAAAAACGTTTGTATCAACAACTACAAATAAATTAAAAATTAATTATAAAACCATTGTCCAGCGGACCAAATTTTGAATCTAAACAATTCCTAGATCCCCTTGAACACACAAAAAAAAAATTCATCAAAATCGGCCCAGTTGTTTGAGAGAAGTTCAGTGACATACACACTCACAGAACAATTATATATATAAAGATAAATAAATAAATAATTTTCCTTTAATAGTATAACATTACCTCCTTCTGTGAGCATGGTTATAGTGAATATACAGTGTGATCGTGATGACTGGGCGTGCACGCCTGTGGCTGCTACTTGTAAGTTGTGTTTGCCAGCAACCATCACATTGTATGCCTCCTCGCCTGAACGAACAAAGGCCTGGGTTGCTCCCTGGGAAATAAATATTAAAATATCAATAAATTAAGCTTTAATACAGGGTGACTGGTGAATTACTATCGATACTTGAGGACGTGATATTTGACGATCATATATGACAAAATAAAAATTAATATCACATAAATATTAATAAACTTCTGAGTAAAGTTAACCTAAAGTTATGTAATTAATTACGCATCGCGTGAACACCCTACAGATTAGGTATATACACACACACACGCGAAGCGGCGGCGTAGTGTTGTGTCAGCACGCCGCCGCACGCGTCCACACTTGGAACACTTGGAACGTGTCCACACTTTATTTATTTATACGGAAATTTGGTCAAAAATTAAGTACCTATTTTTTTTACATAATTCAATGAGAATCATGTACCGAGTATTCTCCTTAAATATTGATAGTAATTCACCAGTCACCCTGTATATTAGTCTTTGTTGGCGCCTACGTGTGGACCGGCACTACATTTATTTTTGTCTATATAAACTAACGATAGTCTACAAAAATTTGTAAACCTTTTTTATCTATGTACGTCACTTCCTTTATATTTCAAATTTGCATATCATTCCGCTACGATTCCTTGTCTTAGTAACATCTGTATCTTCAAATAAAAGTATTTAGCAAAACCAAAGAAGTTTTCTTTAACCTGTCTAAATACCAAACAGTTTTAAATATATTTCAATGTCCTTGTTTTATGACTATTATGAAATCTTTTTGTCAAAATTTTATGGGACTATATATACCATTTTTGAAGCTAATCAGAACTGTATATTTAAATCCAATCATGCATCTTAATGATGTGCTTCAAGAACTACTGATTTAAATTCACTCAAAACACTAATTCACTTATTTTTACTTATTAATACTTTTTATTATAATATTTTTTAAAAAAAATAAATTTTAGTAATTTAGTAACAACAGTAACTTAGTAATTTTAGTAATAACAACTAGTATTAAGATAATTTATAAATTGTCGTCTTCTTATAATTCATTAATATGTAATTCAGTTCTTAGATAAAAAAATGAGATTTAATTATGATTATATAACTATTTATTTACCTTAACATATACATTTCCACTTGAATCATCTCTTATAGCTAACTTCTGAGCATTCCGTCTATCTCCCGGAGCTAATAAGTCATATATGCCTTCGTTGTAGATTTCTATGAAAGATACCTAATGACAAAAAATATATTAAATCGTATGAAAATATTCTTCATCATTATATATATATATATATATATATATAACAAAATAAGAAGGAAGAGTCTGGTTATGGTCAAGTTACTGCTGAATATGTGCTGTCTCGACCGGGGAAATACCACCCTCTCACAGGAAATCGTCATTAAGTAGTCATTAACTGTTGCATTTCATTCAATAAGTGAGAACCGGTTGCCCTTTCCCATCTCCCACCCTTTCTAACCTTTTCCCTTTTTTTACCCATTGCTACCCTCTCAGTTTTCCCACCATTTGCTACCATCTCCCTTTTCCCACCGTTTGCTAAAATCTTAATTTTCCCACCGTTTGCTAATATCTCCTTTTTCCCACCGTTTGCTAATATCTCCCTTTTCCCACCGTTTGCTAATATCTCCCTTTTCCCACCGTTTGCTAATATCTCCCTTTTCCCACCGTTTGCTAATATCTCCCTTTTCCCACCGTTTGCTAATATCTCCCTTTTCCCACCGTTTGATAATATCCTTTTCCCACCGTTTGCTAATATCCTTTTCCCACCGTTTGCTAATATCCTTTTCCCACCGTTTGCTAATATGTATCTCCCTTTTCCCACCGTTTGCTAATATCTCCCTTTTCCCACCGTTTGCTAATATCCTTTTCCCACCGTTTGCTAATATCCTTTTCCCACCGTTTGCTAATATCCTTTTCCCACCGTTTGCTAATATCTCCCTTTTCCCACCGTTTGCTAATATCTCCCTTTTCCCACCGTTTGCTAATATCTCCCTTTTCCCACCGTTTGCTAATATCTCCCTTTTCCCACCGTTTGCTAATATCTCCCTTTTCCCACCGTTTGATAATATCCTTTTCCCACCGTTTGCTAATATCCTTTTCCCACCGTTTGCTAATATCCTTTTCCCACCGTTTGCTAATATGTATCTCCCTTTTCCCACCGTTTGCTAATATCTCCCTTTTCCCACCGTTTGCTAATATCCTTTTCCCACCGTTTGCTAATATCCTTTTCCCACCGTTTGCTAATATCCTTTTCCCACCGTTTGCTAATATCCTTTTCCCACCGTTTACTAATATCTCCCTTTTCCCACCGTTTGCTAATATCTTAATTTTCCCACTGTTTGCTAATATCTTCCTTTTCCCATAGTTTCCTACCCTATCCCTTTTCCCACCCTTTGCTCTAAATTCTTCCTAACGAAGGTCAGCAATGCTTCCCCAACATCCCTTATATTGCATATTTCCCTAGATCAAAATGACTTCCCTTCATAACATAGGTAGTCGGCTAATTTTCCAACTCGAATATAAAAATAATGAAACTCACCCATACATAATGTCTGTTTCTGTTACTCAAGTCGTGATGACTGGTCAGATCATTCTTCAACTGTACACTCATCCTGCGATATTTGTCTTTAAGAGGTGCCGACACATGTAATCTTTTCACCCACTGTAAATTTTACATATAACAATTTCTCATTGCAGTATATAAAGAGTAATCTCAGGTTATGTAGTAATAATAATAAAAATTGACAAAAAGTAAATTATATAAAATTTTTACAGAATTGTAGAATATATATAAGTATAGCTGAGCACTTTAATAAGATTTTTATTTATTATGATACAACTTCTAATTAATTTCAAATTATAAATATAAGGATAATACTCAAATTCTATTCTTTGTAGTTGAAACATAATAATAATATTATAAATGCCTGCTACAAGTGAATATCATTATATAAGTGTAATTAATATTTAACATCAATACAAAGTATTTTAACATTCCGAGTTGTTTCAATCATGAACCGACCTGTAATTCATATTCCTGTTGAGCGTAATTCAATTTATCAGCTCCTGTCTCCGATGGTTTGTATACAGGAGTTTGTTCAACTTCAACCACTTTGAATACATATTCCAAAGACCTCGGGATTAACCCAGGCGATGAAACTGTGCCCATAAGAGTAAATGTCTTCCCTGAACCGGACGCTCCATAGGTAAGGAGAGTGAAGCTATTACCTTCAGGCAGCTTCCTAAGATTTTCTTTAACGACGTTTTCAAATATTTCCTAAATTAAAATATCAATATTAAAATCGTTAATTGTATAGATAGAAATAGTTTAGTGAATTATCTTACTTTCTGACTGGTATCCGGTCCGAAGATATGTGAGAATGTGAACATTTTTGAAACATTATGCTGGGTTTTTCTCCCGTGACCAGCCGTGGTTGTGTCCAAAGACGTTATTAGATGACGATCAGAACGAACCTCGTATAAATTACTCGGATTATTGCATGGTTTTAATCTTAAATAAACTTGCACTAACTCTGGTTCTTCACACTCTGAATCCTCTTCGAATAATTCCAATAGATTTGTACCCTTTTGTGGCCTCGGTCTCATAAATGGATTCGATATTAATGGAGGCCGAGGTTCTATAAACGAAGGGATATCTCTTCGAGAGACCTCGTTGTCGGAATATCTAGAGTCCAACATGATTAATATTATTTCTTCTTGATACACATACAATTCTAATCTACTTCATATTCAGAAATAAACAAGTTACAACGACAACGACGGTTTATGATTTTAAAATTTCGAAACGGTACGTCATATTTTGTCATGTAAGTGGAATCTGGCTATCTAGCCATGAATATAGTAAATTTAACAACAATTGTTTTTTTTACTATATTAAAGAATGTTATTTATGAAAATTAAAATGTTTTATCAAAATTAATAAATTGTATTTTGTAATAAGCATTACCATTTTGTAAAAAAAATATTCAAAACCATTCCTTCATATTTATCATTCGTTCAATGATCAATCAATCAGTCATTTCTACAGAATATGTCGGATGAGTGCTTGTGTGTTAAAGAATCAGTTTTGTTTATTTTTCTATTTAGACTAAATTAAATGTGCAAAGAGACATGTACCGTACTTAGTTTCCTTTATTTAATGTATACTATATAACGTCCGTTGTGAGTGATATTCGGAGAGTACCATTGACGTAATGAAGATTTTGTGAAGATGTGATTATTATTCGTATTTGGCTTTGTGCCATAGAAGTTTTATGTAAAACAGGCAAAATGAAGAATTTCGCGATAATTGTTCTGTTTTTATTGATCGAGGGAGCGTTTGGTTTTTGTCCGTCGTTATGTTCTTGTAAATCGAATAAGTCTGTCGATGGGCCTTCTTCGGAGCCCCTTCCCGGCGATTTCTTGAGATTAAAATGTGGTGGAACTCCCGCACAGATCACTGAGCTCAAAGAGATAGACCTGAGCAAACTCTGGACACTGGTCGTTAGTTTGTAAGTGCCTTATTTCAGTTTCTATAGAGCTATCACTATACCTTTCTATAACAAGTGAAACTTATTAATAAAAATCCCGTTATTTCATATTATTTTTATCATAATTCCAGAAATCTATCAGGAAATGCCATATCTACGTTATCGAGAGAGCTTCATTTGCCTAATTTACAAAAATTGTAAGTATTCTTAATAAGATCACCTACGATTCACCACTATTGTGTATTAATCAAAAAACTATATGATCATGAATAAAAAATCTATATGAATTCTTCTCAAATATATTAAGATTATGCTAACTATTGTAATTTAACTTATATTTAATAAATTTCCAGAGATCTCAGTAGGAATCAAATAACTTTAATAGAATCGGATGCCTTCTACAACATGACTTCGTTACAAAGATTGGATTTATCTTTCAATCAGATCAGTAATATTTACAAGGAGATGTTCAAGGGTATGGTTAATTTGGAGAGGCTTATGCTAACACACAACCATATATCGGTGTTAGCAGCGGGAACTTTTGATTATCTTGTCGGACTTAAACAATTGTGAGTTTTATTAATATATTAAGAAAATTTTATGGATTTTCTGTGTCATTAAAAAATCATTATATATACATATATTATGATAATTCTTAAGTTTTATGTAAATACAAAGAAAAGAGAAGTGTGATTTTGAAAAATGATTACTAAGAGATGCTCAAGAAAAATAAAACACATATAATATTCATATTGTCTTTAAAAGTATAAAAATTTAGTGGCTCTTTGTAATTTAAAAATACTACATATTTGATCATCTACTTTGTTCTGTCAATTCTATGAAAAGGCTGAACCAACTTTGATGTGACTAAAGCTGTTGTAATATAGAGTAACTTTAATTCTATTCCACATATTTTATAATTTTTTATTAATTTCAATAATAATAATTCTGTTTATTGTGGATGAGGTTGCTGGTACAGTTCAGCCAATATAAAAGTCACTTGCTTTTTTTTGTCAACATTAATGTTCCCTTAAGTTGGTGTGTTAATTAATTCAATTTTATTTATTTATTTCAGAGACATAGCTGACAATCCTTTAATATGTGACTGTGATCTACTGTGGGTGGGAGATTGGTCGAGAAATACGAGTGTCAAACTAGTTGGGAACCCGAAATGTGCCTTTCCAGAGAACATGGTTAACAAAACTGTGAGGAAACTAAAGATATTTTTGGATCTATCCGCCTGTGGAAATGTTCTGCCGTCAAATAATTTGGTTGTCAAACCGAGTCACGATCAAGTTGTTTTCGAAGGTGATACATTAGTGCTCACATGTAACGCTCCCTTTGCATCCGTTATGGCGAAATATGAGTTGAAATGGTCTCATCCAATGTTGGAAATATGTGATGTTAATATAACAAATACAGATATGCAAGAAGAGGGTTTAGCGGAGACAAGTGTGTTCTTCCCGAATATAACAACACATCATATGGGCAATTGGACCTGTGTTTACAGCGATCAAAACCATATAAGGCATAACCATTCGGTGCAAGTTTTAGTGATATCAAACCAAACTCAGTATTGCAAGACAGAACACACAATTGACAATAAAGGATTGTATTCATGGCCCCAACTATTATTGAATCATACAGCCAATGTACCATGCCGTACCGGAGAAGGTTTGGCCTATAGAAAATGTTATGCCAATGCAACTTGGGGGCCGGCTAATACAACTGAATGTTCATACATAAGTAATATAACGAAATTATTACAACAGTTTGCATTGTTGAATGTCAGTCTGGTTCAATACTCGGCTTTGAATGCAACAGAAAGATTGGCAATGTTGATACAAGAGAAAACATATCCGTTAGCAGAGATAACAGATCCCGATGATGTTATGTTCATTGCTAAAGCTATAAGGAATTATATGCAGTATATATCAGAGGAACGAGACTTGGGTATGTATAGTATGCCTCTATTAGACAACATAGCAAAGATATTTTTATTCAACTATAGATTTGAATCAATCCCAAAATTCTTTATATCTTTTTCTACCTGGCAATTTACCAGCTTCAGCCAGGGTCTGCCATGCATGTTGTAAATAGCTTTGGCTAATGGTTTTAACGACCGCCCACCTGCCTGAAATCAACTCTCTTTTTTGGGGAACGCATTAATCAGTGATGTCTAAGTACTTTCAGAAAGTACATATGTCTCGGAAAAATCTCATTGATACTTGCCAGGGCCAGGATCGAACCCGCGCCCTCGTGCGTGAGAGGCGGGCCTTTTAACCACTAGGCCACCACTGACTTAAAAATTCTTGATATAAGATTAATTATATACAATCTTCTTCTTCTTCTACCTGGCAATTTCCCAGCTATAGCCAGGGTCTGCCTTACATGATGTGAATAGTGTTTGGCTTTTTGTTTTTACGACCGGCCGCCTGCCTGACATCAACCCGCTTTTTGGGAAACAACATTAATCAGTGATGTCTAAATACTCGTAGAAAGTACATATGATTCGGAAAAATCACATTGGTACTTGCCCGGGCCAGGATCGAACTCGTGCCCTCGACGACGAGAGGCGGGTTCTTAACCACTGAGCCACCACTGACTTAATTATATACAATATAGACAAAAAATGAAATTTATGAATAATTAATTTATATAACATGAATATTAATATACCGCAGGTTCAACACTCCTGGATGTGATCAGTTCGGTGATGAATATATCAAGTTCGGTAATGATGAAGGCTGAAACTCTATACCAGTCATGTACTGACATTGTTAAAGCCGCTGAAGAAATATCAGCATACACCAGCAATGTTCAAGGACATAAGGTTGGTGAAAAGTATAGAAAGATAGAATACCCTCAATTTATATAACATTTTGACGAGCAACAAACATTTACAAAGATTTTGGATCTTAATAATATGTTTGAAACTAAATACAATTGTTGTGCCAGCATTTGGTCATAACAGAAACATTCTAGTAGAAAAATATCTACATATAACATATCTTTGGGTTACCAAGTTCAGGCAAATTACTAGATTCACATAATATAATGATCCTTACAAGTTTCTATTCCCTTTGGATATTCATGTATAAGATCAAACAATGTTACAATGTTCAATATATTGATTATAGCAGCATTATTTGATAAAGTTCTTCTATCAAATTAAAATTGCTGAACTCTCCTTAGTAAAGGTCCACAGAATTTGCGAAATTTTAGATCCAAATTGTAATTTATAAGTCTTATAAATAGATACCACTCTATCCTACAACACTTCTATTATTTTATCAATATATAGGTGGAAATCTCTTTTATACAGGGTGACTGGTGAATTACTATCAATATTTAAGGAGAATACTCGGTACATGATTCTCATTCGAATTATGTAAAAAAAATAGGCACTTAATTTTTGACAAAATTTCCGTATAAATAAATAAAGTATTGACACGTTCCAAGTGTTCAAGTGTTGACGCGTGCGGCGGCGTGCTGATACAACACTACGTCACGACACGCGTATGTGTGAGTGTCAGTGTATACCTAATCTGTAGGGTGTTCATACGATGCGTAATTAATTACATAACTTTTGGTTAACTTTACTTAGAAGTTTATTAATATTTATGTTATATTAATTTTTATTTTGGCATATATGATCGTCAAATATCACGTCCTCAAATATCGATAGTAATTCACCAGTCACCCTGTATATCTATAATAATCATCAAACGAGGCTAAATCGTATGTTTTATATGATATTTCACTACGCAGAGATCTTAAATGATTTTTTTCCCAAGGTCAACTTGGCAGTGGAAAGGTTCCCTGTTCGCGAAGGTTTTAGTGGTGTGACGTGTGTGTGGTACAGCGTGTCTCGAGGCTTGCCACCAAGACTTCACTGTTCCACCACTAATAGGACGGTGGCGCCACTGTTGACTGTCAGCGACGCTCTCATACACGCTAGTGTACAGGTAAGAAAAAATACATACATAAGATATCATCGGGTTTACTTTTAAGGTAAAAAATTAATCTACTGTTAGTAAATCCACTGTTAATAAATTAATCAACTGTTAGTAAATCCACTGTTAATAAATTAATCCACTGTTAGTAAATCCACTGTTAATAAATTAATCAACTCTTAATAAATCCACTATTAATAAATTAATCAACTGTTAGTAAATCCACTGTTAATAAATTAATCCACTGTTAATAAATTAATCCACTGTTAGTAAATCCACTGTTAATAAATTAATCAACTGTTAGTAAATCCACTGTTAATAAATTAATCCACTGTTAATAAATTAATCCACTGTTAATAAATTAATCCACTGTTAGTAAATCCACTGTTAATAAATTAATCAACTGTTAGTAAATCCACTGTTAATAAATTAATCTACTGTTAGTAAATCCACTGTTAATAAATTAATCCACTGTTAGTAAATCCACTGTTAATAAATTAATCAACTGTTAGTAAATCAACTGTTAATAAATTAATCAACTGTTAGTAAATCCACTGTTAATAAATTAATCAACTGTTAATAAATTAATCAACTGTTAGTAAATCCACTGTTAATAAATTAATCAACTGTTAATAAATTAATCAACTGTTAGTAAATTAATCAACTGTTAATAAGTTAATCCACGGTTAATAAATTAATCAACTGTTAATAAATTAATCAACTGTTAATAAATTAATCAACTGTTAATAAATTAATCAACTGTTAATAAATTAATCAACTGTTAGTAAATTAATCAACTGTTAGTAAATCCACTGTTAATAAACTAATCCACTGTTAATAAATTAATTTACTGTTAAAACATTAATCAACTGTTAGTAAATCCCCTGTTAATAAATTAATCCACTGTTAGTAAATCCACTGTTAATAAATTAATCAACTCTTAATAAATCCACTATTAATAAATTAATCAACTGTTAGTAAATCCACTGTTAATAAATTAATCCACTGTTAATAAATTAATCCACTGTTAATAAATTAATTTACTTTTAAAACATTAATCCACTGTTAGTAAATCCACTGTTAATAAATTAATCAACTGTTAGTAAATCCACTGTTAATAAATTAATCCACTGTTAGTAAATCCACTGTTAATAAATTAATCAACTGTTAATAAATTAATCAACTGTTAGTAAATCCACTGTTAATAAATTAATCAACTGTTAATAAATTAATCAACTGTTAGTAAATCCACTGTTAATAAATTAATCCACTGTTAATAAATTAATCAAATGTTAATAAATTAATCAACTGTTAATAAATTAATCAACTGTTAGTAAATTAATCAACTGTTAGTAAATCCCCTGTTAATAAATTAATCCACTGTTAATAAATTAATCAACTGTTAATTAATTAATCCACTGTTAAAACATTAATCAACTGTTAGTAAATCCACTGTTAATAAGTTAATCTACTGTTAATAAATTAATCAACTGTTAATAAATTAATCAACTGTTAATAAATTAATCCACTGTTAATAAATTAATCAACTGTTAATAAATTAATCAACTGTTAATAAATTAATCAACTGTTAGTAAATTAATCAACTGTTAATAAATTAATCAACTGTTAGTAAATTAATCAACTGTTAGTAAATCCACTGTTAATAAACTAATCCACTGTTAATAAATTAATTTACTGTTAAAACATTAATCAACTGTTAGTAAATCCCCTGTTAATAAATTAATCCACTGTTAGTAAATCCACTGTTAATAAATTAATCAACTGTTAGTAAATCCACTGTTAATAAATTAATCCACTGTTAATAAATTAATCCACTGTTAGTAAATCCACTGTTAATAAATTAATCCACTGTTAATAAATTAATTTACTTTTAAAACATTAATCAACTGTTAGTAAATCCCCTGTTAATAAATTAATCCACTGTTAATAAATTAATCAACTGTTAATTAATTAATCCACTGTTAAAACATTAATCAACTGTTAGTAAATCCACTGTTAATAAGTTAATCTACTGTTAATAAATTAATCAACTGTTAATAAATTAATCAACTGTTAATAAGTTAATCCACGGTTAATAAATTAATCAACTGTTAGTAAATCCACTGTTAATAAATTAATCCACTGTTAGTAAATCCACTGTTAATAAATTAATCCACTGTTAATAAATAAATTTACTGTTAAAACATTAATCCACTGTTAGTAAATCCACTGTTAATAAATTAATCAACTGTTAGTAAATCCACTGTTAATAAATTAATCCACTGTTAGTAAATCCACTGTTAATAAATTAATCAAATGTTAGTAAATCCACTGTTAATAAATAAATCCTCTGTTAATAAATTAATCCACTGTTTACTAATAAACTAATCAAAACTTATTCACTTGTTCTTAGAAGTTAGAAAGACAAATGACAATATTTAATAATAATAAAATGGCGAATAAATTATATGAACAGTTTACCGACCAATCAGAGAGCCCCGTTTCATTAGTTAGTTGTCAAATCAAAGTCAAGTCAAAAAAAAACAACTACTAATAAATTAAAAATTAATTAAAAAAAAACATTGTCCAGCGGACAAAATTGTGAATCTAAACCATTCCCAGATCCCCTTGAACATACACAAAAAATGAAATTTTCAAAATCGGCCCAGTCGTCTGAGAAAAGTTCGGTGACATACACACTCACAGAAGAATTATATATATAAAGATATAGCCTTATGTGATATGCAGTGTGATATAAAAGTCTTTTTAAATTGAATCGTAAATTTATAAATTGGATACTTTTTGCATTGCAAATATAATGAAAAACTGAAATAAATAAATACTTTCCGGCGCATAGTCTGGCAAGGATTTGGTTTGTTGGTGATAAATTTCCCTATATACACTTCCCAATATAATAATCAAGTGACAACAAAAAGTGGTCACTTTAATGCTTATCAATAACAACGCTCGTAACAGTAACAAGAACAATTGATCCATTTTTAATGCTCGTAAGTGTATTTGGGATCAAAAATCCTATCAAGCGCAAGAATTATGCTATCTAATTCCCTGTCCCTTATTATTCCTATAATGCCTAAAAAATTAACGCATATATCGTCGCTTGTCAAATTAAGTTCCGGTTACTATAGCATAAAAGAATTCAGTTCCAACCTTTATTATATAGGAAAATTGTGATGTTAAAAGTGAATTAACGTGATACATCTGGTAATTTTGGTAGAAAATGCCTAAATTATAGTCCAAAATATTTGTCAAAGTGAGATTCATATTGTTTCAGATACCACAATCTTTATTGTACAGGACTACGGATTCTGGGGATGTTTTACAAAGTAAACCTCAAGATCTGATTGTTACTATGTATGAGGATGCTTCATTATTTCCACTTCTACCCTCTATGGAAGACAGTCCTATGCCCGGACATCGCTCCAAAGATTACTATGGACGTAGTACGAAAAGGGAGGATATGAATATGGAAATAACATCACCTGTAGTTGGATTTCAACTGAGTTAGTCGATGATATTAATTTTGTATTATAATATTGTTAACTAGCTGCGCCCCGTGGTGTTACCCGCGGATTTCTGAGATGTAAAGTAGCCTATGTGTTATTCTTGGACGTCAGCTTCCTGTATACAAATTTTTATCAAAATCGGTTCAACCGTTTGAGCGTGAAGAAGTAACAAACATACACACACACTCACAAACTTTCGTAATTATAATATTAGCACGATAGCGCGGGTTCGATCCTGGCAGTACCAATGTGATTTTTCCGAGTTATATGTACTTTCTAAGAGTATTTAGACATCACTGATTAATGCATTCCCAAAGAGGGTTGATGTCAGGCAGGCGGCCGGTCGTAAAAACAAATAGCCAAAATTGTTCACAACATGTAAGGCAGACCCTGGCTAAAGCTGGGAAATTGCCAGGTAGAAAAAGAAAAAGATTGTTAATGTAAGAATTTTCCCTTTATTAACACGCCTTTATTAGTTTGGGTTCTATGTATGTAAGGAATCTTTGAGCTTAATTGTTATCGGTTTTTAGAAATCTGAATAATTTGAAACTTTGCATACTTAGCAAAGACAAATACATTAATTTGGGATGCATTTGACTACATTTAATATCTTTCCTCTCATAGATAGTTGCCACTAGAATGATGTAACATTCAATATCAAGTAACTTTTTACTCTGAATTAAAATAATTTCTTTGTAATTGGAAATTATTATTTTTTTAGTTCATTTAGCTATAAAAGCGTGTTCTAGTTTTTTCTAAAACTATTACTTATATCTTCTATATTTACTAAACACCAAGAACTATATTTAAGAAGCAATCGAGATTTTTCATCAGATCTTCTGCTCTAAATTCACTTATTAAATTTATTAAATAGATTCTTCTACTTGGCAATTTCCCGGCTATAACCAGGGTCTGCCTTACATGTTGTAAATAGTTTTGGCTAATTGTTTTTACGACCGGCCGCCTTCACATCAACCCTCTTTGGGAATGCATTAATCAGTGATGTCTAAATACTCTAAGAAAGTACATATGACTTTCAAAAATCACATTGGTACTTGCCAGGATAGAACCCGCGTCCTCATGCATGAGAGGCGGGCCTTTTAACCACTAGGCCACAACTGACTATTGAAAATTAAATAGATTATGCCTAAATAACTAATATATATTTGTCCGTGTATATTATGAAGTTTAATCTTTAGGTAATTGTTTTTTACAGGCGGAGGATCTTTACGTGGGTCATTATTGGAGCCGGTAATAGCTACTGTACGCGCTAGAACAACCGGCGGAGAAGATGGCAGAGCGGCCAGCTGGGATCAGAAAGATAGGATATGGGTTGATAATACATCAGGTTAGTAGAGGCAGGGAGAGATGAGTGTCAATATTAGTCTATTAAATCGGAGGGGGGGGGGGGGGGGGTATGACGCTAAATTGAAAGTACTTTTAGCATGTAGAATGATTCAAGTTAGAAATAAATTGGGTTTTTGGTGGTATTAGATGACTAAAGGAATTAGCTGAAAGATTAAGACTATTTCATGTGTTATTATTGATAGTAAATGCAAAAACGTCACATCTTCTGAGATATGTATTGAAGTCAGAATTAGTATTTGTAATTTATATAATTTTTTAATATACTAATAATTAATGTATATATTTCAGATTGCAAAGTATCACACGTGGTTTCCGAGATGATAATAATAAGTTGCACCCGTCTAACGTATGTTGGTCTGTTACAAAACGTGGAGACAGGCATATACGGGGCTAGGACTGATGGCGCGAGGTTTAAAGTTTCCCATCCCGCCGTGTATGTGGGTAGTTTGATTCTCATAGGATGCGTCAGTTGTTCAACTATAACCTACATCATGTGCTATAAAGCGGTCCAAATGGCGAAGAAAACGAAACACGCGCTCATTAATACATGGATAGCCATAGGATTGCTGTGTTTTTTGTACACGCTTGGCATATATCAGACTGAAGATGTAAAATTATGTCAGATTTTAGGTCTTCTGATACATTATCTGTCTTTGTCGTGTTTATTGTGGATGTGCGTTTCGGCTAGTAATATGTACAAATGGGTCACGAAAACCCACAATCCCGTGAGAACGCCGGAAGACGATTTGCCACCGGATGTTCCGATACAGAAACCTATTTTGGGACTGTATCTCGTTGGTTGGGGGATAGCTTTGATAGTCTGTGGTATATCCGGTGCTGTCAATTTGAAGGATTACGCGGGATATTCTCAATGTTTCCTGAGTAATGCGCCGGCATTGAGTGCTCTTTTCATACCGGGCGGTATATTGCTCATGTTTTTAATGGTACTGTTTCTATTAATACGTTGTACGATACGTAATATGAACGTACAGTTGTCCGAGGGTACTCAAGCCACTGAGAACGTGGATCTTGAGATGTGGGAACCGAATCATGCTAATGAAGGAGAGAGACGAAGTATTAAATCTGTAGTCGATTCTGAAGTGGATGATGTTGAACATACACCCATAATACAGTTAAGAGCGCAAGTTATTGTTTTGTGCCTGTATTTGTCTGTGTGGACTTGTGGCGCGATCGCTGTATATAGACCTCTACCTGCCTATTTACCCTACCAAGAAGACATCTGTAGTATAATCTACGCAGTCTGCGCTACTGTTTTGGGAACATTCATTCTGTTCTTCTATGGCATCGCAAGAAGCGATGTTCGAGCTCAATGGTCATTAATGCACTGCTATTTTCAATCGAGCAAGCAATGTTGTAGGAACAGAAGCGTTTTCGATACGAATCAACAAAATTTACCGTCCGGTCAAGGCGCTACTAACTCGCCGCAGCGAGTTATAACGAACGATAATAGATCGAGATCCGGTAGTAGGAGTTCCAATAGAACTAACACAAAAACTAATAACAGCGGCACTTACAAAGCCGCGGCTGAGCTCAATGGTCAAACACATCCCAAAGATCTTAAGAACACTAATGGAAAAACTCCAAATATAAATTTGGTGGTGCTACACAGACAGCAGTATAGATCAAACAATTCAATGATGACGTATCCAGAAAGAGGTTCCTTAGGGCCCGAAGTGTTCTACAATCCTAACCAAATGAATGTCGCTAAGAAGTTCTTCAAGAAACAAAGGCAGAATATGAAAAGAAATTGTCTGGAATTGCCCATCAGGAGAGATTTGGACGACGAGTCCCACGCCTCTCTGCCGCTGCCGAATAAGGATGCGTATAATGTCGCTAACTTTATAAACGCCGGCATTAAGTTTAATAACACCAACCAACATGTAGAGAGATCGGCTAACGGCATCAAAGAAACCAGAAATTCAGTCAATCCGAATCTTCTAGAAGACGATTCGAAAGATAATATCGTGAATTATACCAACGATCAAAAATCATGGGCCAAAAAGGACGATCCCAAACAGGGTAGAGCCCAGATAATTAATATCTACACAAACGTTCCAGAAACGAGAGTACCACAGCATCAGATTGTGAAAGCGAACGTTAGCAAGAACTTGAACGGTCAAAGAAACAGTGTGTCAGAGGAATGTTTGCAAGCTTGTGAACAACCGGAAATGCGGACTATATCTCAACAATGCAGCTTGGAATACAGCTCGGCGTCAGAAATAGCCATGCCTCATACATGCTCGGATCAGACCCTGAACACACACTCAGAAATGACATCGTTCCAAGAGAATAGTGCCTTATGTTCGACCAACGAAATAACAGACACAGAAAGCTTCGGACAATACATAGATTACCTTCAACCGAGTAAACCTTTAGATGGGAAGGAAGTCATCGATAAATCACTGCAAGATATATCAGAGGAATGCACCATGAACAGCGATGACGTGAATAGGTCTAGCACACCGCATAAAGATTCCGGCGAATTGGATAATTTGCTAGAAAATCCAGAAATCGCCGGATCCAAAGACAAGTTAGAAGAAGATAAAGATACATTCTTCATGGCCAAAACGACGTACGACTTCGAGACTTGCAGCACGAACGCCAGCGAGCAGGGCTTTGAAAACGAAAGCGATATTTATTGTCCGAATTATCAGATGTCTGAAGTGAGCATACGAAGTCACGGCTTGTACGCGCCATCGCCATCATCTATGTGCCCTAACGAGATAAGCTTTAGCAACGAAGACGTTTCAACATTAGAAAGCCAGTACGTGAATTACGACCCCGGCTGGCGGAAAACGATCAAAAACAATCCTAAACTAGGAAAATACGTGCCCACGCCCGCGCTAAGCTGTCCCGAGGTCAATAGAGACAGTCCGATATCATTCACTAGTGAATTAGACGAACTATACACGCAAATAACTAGTAGGGATAAAGATAGGACACGGAATAAGGATCACGGCTTTGATGTCACTGTCAACAGTGACGTGACATTGAAACCTGACAGTGACAGTTGTGTCAGTGAAGCCGTGTCTGACGTTGACGTTAAGAAGGCGACGGTCTAAAGTCATAGGGATTTATAGATATATATGTAAATAGAAACTTCTTGTTATAAAGAATGTAACACTGTTGATAATGATGTATTTTAGATATGTAAATTTTAGATTATTTTTTTTCTACTCTACTAAAATTGAACTGCCACTTTGTATCTAGGCATATCGTGCCATTATTGTAGATTTTTTTTTATAAGTATTTTTTAATCTGTAGTTTATGTGTAAAGTTATTTATTTTTAAGATTTTTATTGAAAATAAGATATGTAATGAGTGTAATGATTGGTCCTTTCTTAGAATTTTAACTGTAGTCTTGATCTCGAATATATTTTCTATTGTAAATATTGTTTAAATGTTTTGTGAGCGCAGTATGTTTTGTTTTGGAATGTTAAGAGCTTCATGGCGGCTGTTGTGTGTCGCTAATGGTGTTTGTGCCAAATTATGACGGATTGTTATAAGTAATAATAATTCTAACGAAATATTTTTTATGATCTAATATGTCGAGTCGCCAGCCTTAAGTCTAGTCCGCTTTGGCATTTAAATAAACAGGTTAACAAGAAAACCTCAAATATTAGACGTGGTTTTTACTTTTATATAGTAGTTTTTGAAAGAAAAAGATTTCGATGACTTTATTCAAGATCACAAATAAATTATTGTTGTATCAATTCAATACATGAATACTTTTTAATAAAAATGACTGATTTTTTTCTATGACACATGTTAGAAGTTAGTTATTTTTCTATTATTCTTGCCACGATAAAAAAATATAGAGAAATTTTGAGATAACTATACAAATGCATATACGGAAAATTTTTCTTAATAAATATTAAAGGATTGTGATCATAGTACAGAAAAAATATATTACTTTACAAAAAAACAAAGACGTTAACATAACAAATTATCGTAAAACATATATTGTGTTTAATATGTACATTTGTATTATATATTAATATTGAGAAAGATATAAATAAATCTGTAGCTTTTACGAGCATCGTGCATAATAAAATGGCAATTGTATACAAATTGTTTTATTCCATTAAAATATAAACATATAAAAACTCTTTGGTTCATTATAGTACAGTTTTTTAATATACATATATATATTAATTCTATACATAAATCTTTTAAACAAATCTTAAAATATAGTTATGATAAGGAGTGAGTGCATGTTATTTATCTTGTGGGAGTAAAAATGTTATCGTTGCACTCTTGTTGACCTTGCGTGGATAATTGAAAAATATATGTATATACAAGATTATTATTATATTTGAACATACAAATAATTTTGAAATATATTAAAAATATAATCTCTATATAAATTTCGTAATAAAAGAATTATAAATGTTTTGATAAACCTAATCCCTGTGTGATAAAACATCAGTTCAATTCATTATATTAGCAACCATTCAGTAGTTTCCATTACAAGGAAACTAGATTTTCATTAAAAATCATTAGAAAAATATAAAAATAAATAATTTTAACCTTACAAATAACAACTTAATAGTATATGGCATCTTATTGATATGTATGAGCATATAGCTTGTATCATGCGTTGGCTGGTAATGCTAGACGGGCAGTGAGTTCTCTTCCCCGGCCAGCCACTGCACCCAAGACTCGACCTACTAAACCTTTGGGAACTTCTTCTGGTAATTTTTGCTTTCCTGTAATATATATTATATAATTATAATCTTGGTTAAATTATGCTTTAAAAAATATAATAATTTTAGTCTTAGATCTAAAAGCATCTTCTGAACAGTTAATCAGTTTATATATTGAAGGAAATTGGAATTCAGATATAGCTTTATCTCAATGAATGTTTTTTTTTATAGTTTGAATATCATTGAGAAAAATCCCTCAAATAAGAAGACTGAAATGAATATACAAGTTAGTTTAGCCAAAGCATGTGTGTGTTACTTCTTCACACTCAAACGGCTGAACCGATTTTCATAAAATTTTGTATACAGGAAGCTGACTTCCAGGAATAACACATGGGCTACTTTACATCCCGGAAATCCACGGGTAACACCGCGGGGTGCAGCTAGTTTATAATAAATGGAAAGCTATAGATAATTAAATTAGTAAATTTTTCTAACTAATTATTATATAGTGTTATAATATTTATAGTATTAGAAATAAATATAGTATGATTGCTGAAAAGCCATATAAATTTAATTTTCATATATTATGAGCACAGCTTAAAATCAATTTAATTTTAAATGTATTGTAAAGGTAATAATTATTAAACTAACCGACAAAGAAGTCAAGAATTAACCCGGCAACCTCAGCATCTCCGGGGCCAGGTTTTTTAACCATTCTGAGAGCCGGATTATTACAGTACTGTGCGCTGGTAACAAGTTGAGAAGCACTGTCTTTGGAACCAATCAGAAGTCCCCGGGAAGTAATCTTATGATCTGGATGTATTCTATACCAAGCGGCACCTTAAATAAATAATTAGATTCAGTCAGAATAACCTTCTTCTTCCTGGCAATTTCCCAGCTTTAGCCAGGGTCTGCCTTCCTACTTAAACTCCTCCACTTTGCACGGTCTTTAAAGAATCCTATTTTACTATATATCATATATTATATATCGTCGTCATATTCATCAGCCTATCAGAGCCCACTGCTGAGCTGCCTCTTGTCACATGGAGAAGGTCTGAGCATTAATCACCACGCTCGATCAAGACGGGTTGGTGATTTCAAACTTATAATTGTGAAATTATAAGTCCAGGTTTCCTCAAAATGTTTTCCTTCATCTGTCAGTGGTGTCTAAATACTCTTAGCAAGTTCATATGACTCGGGAAAATCACATTGGTACTTGCAAGGATCGAACCCGCGCCCTCATGCATGAGAGGCGGACTTTTAACCACTAGGCCACCGCTGACATAAATATATACATAATTATAATTTAATTATGCCAAAGATACATTAATTATTGTGTATTAGTCATGTATAAATTATTGCTGTACCCTTGTACTGAAGTGACAGTATTTGAGTAAACAATGCCAGTCTAATTTATACTTTCAATATGTCAATTACTTTTAATATATTGCATTTAAATGACATTTCCCAGTTGAACATAATTCATATGTTATCGAGGATGTTATCATTTTTGTAAAATTTTATATACAATATAGGATGTTTATGTATAAAACAATTCCCTACTAATATTATAAATGCGAAAGTATCTCTGTCTGTCTGTCTGTTACGTTTTCACGCCTAAACCACTGAACTGATTTTAATGAAATTTGGTTCAGATATAGAATTGACCTTGAGAATGAACATAGAGAGTTTTTATCTCAGACTTTTGAAAGGTTCTCTTGGAAACGCGATATAACCGAACTCGACGCGGGCGAAGCTGCAGGCGGAAAGCTAGTATATATATATTTAATCACCTCTGACATAGTTGAGGGCGCCGCTCCAATCCCTCGCCCTAGAACTAGTCCATTTGGAACCTTCTTTTAAAGTCCCTTCAGCCAACCACCGTTCCGGGAATAAAGGCCACTGATTAAATAAGAAAAAAGATTATTAAACTATTATTATTACTTTAATATTATGACAGAAAACTTGTAACAGTAATGTTATTGGATTAAAATCAGTATTTTACCAAGTCTTAACAGTCGCTAAATATGAGGATTTATAACGACAAACTTTAAACGCAACATCTGTAGTATATCGCGACGACTCGTTCTAAGAGTACAGGGTTGTTTAATAGCATTGTTCATATATTTAATCTTAATAGAAAATATGTTTCATACTTATTTGAATTCAAATCAAATAAGTACAATGAGCATGTAGTAATTTTCATATTTATTGAGTTATTTTACCATTTACACTTCTACAATACAATATTTATAGAACTTAGTAATCTAATAATATAAAAAATCCTAATAGCATTTTTTTTGTCATATACTTAAAAATATTTGGGCAGTATAATACTGTGCAATTTAATATTTGTCCCACAGATAATTAATATAAAGTAAATAGAACTACTTCCTTTTGGATATAGGTAAATTAAAAAATAAATAATAATTTCTATAGTCAGGAAATGTTAGCTTATGTGATTAATATAACAATATATATAATTATGAGTTATTTTTTAATTTACCTTTGACCCAGAAAAGAAATTACATTATACATATATTTGAGTCATTTTAATATGGTCTGTATAGTAATAGATTTTGTAGCAAACACAAATACTACTACTACTAAATACCTACTTGCATAAAGTGTAGTGATTGCCGACAGAATTCAGCTGGTGGATGTTGCCAATAGAGGTTTGGATGTGGGGCCGATATGACTGCAAACTTGTGTATCAATACTCCCTTACAATGTACTACATACCTATAACACACAAATATATATAACTCAACTCAACTCAAATAACTTTATTAAATATAGAAGCATTACACTTCCTTATTGATGCTCACTTGAGACACTACCACGAGTTTGGAAAACAAAATACCCTGACCTGAGAAGAACCGGCCAAAGAAACTCAGCGGGTTTTTTTATATATATATATATTTGTCTCATATATTATATACACAATTTAATATGAGATGAAATAGCCAGGAGGCGATCGTTTCATTCCCAAGGTGTGCTATCGATCATAAACTCATTAAATATTATATACTCATTATATATTATTCCATCAAGAGAAAGTCCTTTATCAGATATTTAATAACATTTTCAGGCCTACATATAATTAATCTATCATATGTATTAAGCCATGTAAATTGTATCAAATCAGATAATATAAATTATAGTTCTTTAATGTTATCAGTGACCTCTGAAAAAACTACATTTTTGTGAGAAAATTTTATAAGCTAATGACTTGTTTACATATATTATAGTATGTTTTAATGTAGAAGATAATAGTTTCTTGAATATCAACTCACCAAGTTAACATACCACCGATTCCAAAGCCGATCATTAAGGCTGGGTTCTGTTCCGATGCTCCAAGGGCTTCTAGTAATGCTGTTATTTCCTCCACGGCTCTTGGAGGAGACAGATCACTTCTATATCCACCCTCACTAGCGCCGGTTCCTCTCAAGTCCAGGGTCACTACATGATGGCCGGTCTCAGCAAGACGTCTTACCACAGAAGACCAGCTCGGCACCCACAAATTTCGAGTATCGGGGGCGTCACCGAGAATTAAAACTAGCTTGCCGTATTTAGGGCCAGTTTCCACATAGTGATATTTAACACCCTACAAGTTAAATTGAAATATTTACTAAATAAGCATATTTTTATATATTCCGATTCATAAGATAAAAATTGGATTAATATTACACATCTTGAGGAAAAAAATACAAAATTAAAAAAGATATTGTATAAAAACTACAATAATAGTAAAGGGTAATTCTTACCTTGATTTTAATGTAACAATGAATACCGATAGACGAGTCCACAGTAAATTCAACCACGGGACAGTCCTTAGACGATTTCTTTTGCTGTCCTTTCCATAACCTTTTCACTGAGAGCTTTATTAATTGCCACAGTCCGATAAATAAACATTTCAATATTAAATCTACCGCCTCCCAGCCAAATACCACTTGCAAGACTTTATTACTATTCACACTCATCATTATAACTAAATATATAATAACTTAACGATATCTCAACACGTAAGACGTGTTCTATAGTTAACTGCGCGCGGCATTCTTATCAGTTTTTAATATTTTATCAAACAATTTGAAACAAACGGATGTAACTGTAGCTGTCAATGTCAAGCTTAAAAAGATGCTCTCAAATAAGGGGCACTAAATGAATTGTTATGACAAAAATTAATGATAAAATGTATGACAAAAATTAAAGATTTCCTAGCAAAACAAGTAATGATTTTATATCAACTCAATTTAACTACAAACTCTAAGAGACATGGTTTTAATAGTGTTTATAACATAAGTTACAAATACAGTTTCAAATACAATTTTTATTAAAATAATTTGATATGATTTGTAATTTACATTATTATATTATAAACTAAGGATATTAATCATAATCATGATTCATGCTAAAAATGGACAACTTAGACTGTCTAATGGAAAAAAAGAAAAAAGGACAAGAAACAAAAGTCAGCACTTAACCATGCGTAGTTTCCAATAGATGTCTACTGTCTTCGCTTAAGGATTTAAAAACAAATTAAGGTACCAGACAGGGCACTCAAGTAGTAAAACCATAATGACAAACGTAGAAAGGCAAGTCACTGTACCTAACGACGAGCTAACGAGTCCCAGTACGTTTAAATCTGCTCGTTCAAACGCCTACAGCTTTGTAAGAGCAATAAAAGACTTTAATGTTGAAAAATTGCCTTGTGCATGACGTGGGTTATATTTATATTTTATAATGAGCTTTATACTTCGTGTTTTAGTCAAATAATTCGCTTTGACCTTTTGCATGTCATTACTTGCACATTAATCTCAACAGATGGCGTCAGTTGTATGTATAGAGATTGATAGGGTTTCATTTACAATAAGCTTTTTGCTGAAATCGCAGTTTCAAAAAAAAAAATTTAATATAAACTCAGAGACCTATTTGCTTTAAAAAATGCCTTTTTCGTGTCTAACGATTAAAGAAATGTTCAGATGATTTGACATATATATGTTTTATATAAATTAAATTCTTGTACTAATATTTTTTTATAATTTAGTGTGACACAATTCCATGTAACGTATTGTTAGTTGAGTTTTAAAACCTACGTTATATCATTGTTCTTTGGTATATTTAATATTTCACATACTTTCATCAGTGAATATTAAATAAAACGATGTATGAAAATGTCTTATACAACTGTTTAATGTGACACAATGTAAGCTCAAGCTCCATAACGACACATGAAGTGATTATTCTCAAATGTAGGTACATAGTCCTCAGTTGAGAAGAGCGATCTTTAACAAAACGTTCAAGTGTTATTTGAGAGTTGGAACGTGCCGCAGAATCACTACGATTCCCCCGCTGATATGAATGATTGTGGTTGGATCATTATCTTATATATTTTTGATGGAAAAAAAAAAACATACCCATCCCTAAATTCTTGTTGGCGCGAAAATGATAAGGGATGTACAAAAGACCATTGTATGGAATCTTATAAGAAATTTTTAATTTTATAATAATTTTTATCCCATCTTTTTTCGGGTATTCATAATATAAATTTATTTTGTCAAAATTTTGTCATTATTGAATTATTTATCAATATTTTATTCAATCATTAAGTATTCTTAGAACAAATAAAAATCAGTAAGTCCGAGAAATCAAACTAGATTGAGTTGGTGTCATTGTAATGTCACTGACGGTGACGTTAGCTGACGTTTTACAAGATGATACTTGTTATATTTTTTTGTTTTGTTGATATACAAAGATTTTTTTATTCATAAGACTTACAATAGCATATTGTTCTTCATTATTATATGAAGATATCTTATTTTATAAGGATCAAGTTGTCTTTTATATTTTTTTAAAAAAGATTGCGTAAGGAAATCAATTATTATGAGATCTAATTTAAATGAGTCATTTATAATTTATCATAGTGATCACTATGCTTAGTCCGATTTGGCATCGTCACAATACATGCGAAGTATTTCTTGTATTATATTCAGAAGTATCTTAAACATAAAGATTTGAAAGAATGAAAAATTGGAATATACAGTTTTTAATTTTATAATATTTAAGTGATTGTCGCGATGTTAGATAACTGATGTTATGTATAAAAAGTAATTTAACTTCTCTTGTATTACAGATTATACCTAATTCGTAATTATTTAATGCCTCTTTTTATCTATAAAACTAGTTTTTGCCCGCGACTTCGCGTTGATTTCAGAATTGGTAATATATGTATAGCTGACCGGGGAACTCTATTCCCCGATAAGATATATTAGTTTTTTTTTCTTTTCCATCAAACAGAACTAAATATCCTATGTCTATCTCCTGGTTCTAAGCTATCTTCCCACTAATTTTCAACTATATCCCTACAGTCCTTCTTGAGTTATAAATAATGTAACTAACACACCTTTCCTTTATATATACAGATGTATCTGTATTATTTTTTAGTATGTAATATATAAGAGATAGAACAATGTAACCGAAATACATTGACAAGGAAGCTAGTGACTATTGTACATAGCGAGGGGTGTCATTGTGATGTTAATGTCTCAACGGGGGCGCCACGGACACGGCACGAGGCACGCCCCGCGTCGTGAGATGATTAATAAACACTATGTATTGTGAAGACTATATTCGTAAAACTATACATATATACTTCTATAAAACTATGAATATAGATAATAAAACCTTTTTTTTAAATTCTCAAGCTGTCATGCAAAAAAAAAAACAAGTGTCAATTCGATTTCACCACAAACCCGCATGCAGTAGAATCATACAATGGCTACCATTCCACCGCATTCGACGCGTCATACTAAATGATATTTGAAAGCGTCTGTTAATCTCATAAAAGCTTTAAGTTTCAAAACGTAATGGAGATATTTATCAAATTATTCGTTATAATGCCCCAGGTACGAGGTGTCGTGTTGCCATCCATTTTGTAATAGGACGCTAGTCGACGGAGCTCTTTTTGGTCGGATTTGGGCATCCGAGCGCGGATTATAGAATACGTAGCTATATAAATATATTTGGCGGAGTATAATAACGATCTGCACTACATATTGTATTACAAAAGCTTTTTTGAAATGTTTTTTTTAACAAAGCTATAATGCTACACAATATATGTTCAACGAATTATAATTTAAAAGTCAAATTGTCTTCATTATGAAGTTGGTATTTAAAAATGTATTTAAATGAAAAAAATTGCACAACAGAATTGATCATTGCCAAACCGAGCACGAACGGAAAAAAGAAAATCGAATCGAATGCTGACTGAGTTCGGACATTTGACTTAACTCTTGTCATGTCTTTTTTGACGTTTACCGGATTTGACGTTTTTTTTTTCGGTTGTCGGCCATGACGTTTCGTCGTGTGCCAGTATTAGCATGTCCGTATCCGGCAAAGCACGTTAGCGTCTACATCGCACATCCACAATGGAGCCCACTCGTTACCTACTTGACTGTGTAACTTCATTTATGCGTCTCGCTCAGGGATGTTTACTATTGAGGAAAGAGGACTCTTATGAGCACTTTGTTAACTTCCATTCTGAAAGGTTCATGCTAAAGTAGTTTGCGATGGCTTTGACGTTTTGCTTGTCATGATTTTATACGGATATAAAATGAAAGTACTACTTGCATAGTAAATAGTTATATTTATGCATCCAATATTATGGTACACACAGATTCCTACGACTTTATTACACATATGTGTGGCGTATAATAATTTTAGTCTGTAGCCATTAACGTTGTTTTGAAGAAAGTTTGTTTATGTGTTATATTTACAATATGTCAAGGTCATTTCTCATTTACAAACGAAGGTCAAATAGGTTAGTTACCTATACATATAGGAGCGTGGAAATGTTAAAAAAATATCATTACATACTAACAAAATGTCCAGTCACCTCCTGTGCATAAACCAGCATTTTGATTTCTATTGAGAGGGTGCGTCACGCGTAGCTCGCAATACCTATTATCGCGCCCCTACAAAAAGATTCATTTAAAATGTTATTTTACACCCCGGCTATGTACTTCTATTGTGCGTACTCTATTATGTGAAAATGTAATTGTAATAAATTACAAAAAGCTTTTTGTACGACTATGAACTTTGTTACTTCGGCCATGATGAAAAAAATATATTGTCTATAGCAATTACGTTGGTTGATAGGACGCCATTTTGTTGAATCTGGGGGTTCATTGCATGTGACTGTTACTCAATCCCGCTATTCAATTACATTGAGTGGTTATATTGAAAGTACTTTGAATATTGGTAGCTGGAGCGAATATTATAATAAAAATAACGTAATGCTTCAAGTATATAAGCATATTACTAACTTTGAATCAATTCTGTTTTTTCTTGTTTTATTTTTAATCAACTATTTTCGTGTCCAAAGATAGAATATGTTTTGAAGAACCATCTTTTATATAAAAGTCAGTTCTCGAATGCATTTAGTTTAAAGTTTCCTGAATAAAAATTCCATTCCGTTATGCGCCGACTGGCTAACGAAGCCAATTTGTGTGCCCGTAATGAAGTGGCAGATTCACGCCAACAATTAATTCACTCAATTTTTATTTAATTATCTCTCTGTCATATATCTAATTAATATTTTATATCACTTTATTATTGTACTTCGGTTATTTAGATTTAATATTGCTTGTTACATTTACTTTTACAACATTTTAGTAGGGTACTGACATTAAAAGAATATGTAAGTATTTAAATAAAATTTTGTATATTTTGATAAGAAACTAGAAATATAATAAACAAAAAGTATATTACTGTTATTAATGATGACATGTAAAGAAATAAAATAGAGAATGTAAGTGAATAAGTTTTAAACTGTTAAAAAGTTAAGTCCGATCCTCGCGTTAAGAATTAAGATTTCCGCGGATAAGTAAATATTTGTATTAAACGTATGTTTATCAGAGTTTATTAACTAAAGAGGTCTTTGTCTAGCCCGCTAATTACTAGATCACAATCGTAACCATTG